TCTATTTAAGCTGTGTTTAAGAAGGAACTTCAAAAAATGAAATTAAATTACTTAATAATTAAACAAAAACGTATCCAACTAATTTTCTTTGCAACCAGCGTAATTGCCCCTTATTTTTCGTATATTAATTCAGTTAGGCAGCTATCGAAAAGTAAAAAAAAAATTGCAAGAAAACATTTATAAAGGTTACGAGCTCTCTGTTTAATTCAAAGAGCTTCAAGGCCATGTTCTGTTCTTGGAAAATCAAAACTTGATGAGTGTTTTTTTTTAAAATCTGAATCTAGGTCTGGACAAATCGTGTATAGGTCTTGGTGATTTTTTTTCGGGAAAAAGGCTTATTATTTGTTCACGCTCAATTTTGATTTTTCGCGGTTTGACTATTGATTTTTTTTTTCAGTTAACTTCATTTTTTTTGGTAAAGAAGGCAAACTCCATTGAGCAGCAAAAGTATGAAAGTCACGAAAAACGTAATTGACTTCTATTTTCGAAAATGGAATTTAAATATCAGATTTCCCAGCGAAATAAAAGTTTTACCTTTTGATCCAGTTTTCTCAAATTGGGTTCATTTTATCAAAAAGTGAATGTCAATTCAAAAGTCGAAGGTTTTTCAAAAAAACAAGTCAGTTTTTTTTTCAGTTCCGTTCATGCCTATTTTCCAACTCTCTGTTAGCTATGTTTCGTAATGTAAATCCTAAGTATTTCGGCAACTTGGAAATGATTCCATTGTTTCGGATAATTTTAGCTCATTGGGTCTCGACTTCATTTCTGTCGGCTTGCTTTCCTAATGAAAATTTCTAATTTTCCCTAATTGATTGTTTTTAAATTTGACTAGGTATTTTAGAAAGCTTAAAATCAACTTCTCCGACTCGCTTTAAAAAACTAAATATAAACATAAAAAATTTCCTTTTTCAATTTTTTCTTTTTTCTTACAGAGATAGATTTGTTGCAAGTTGTAGTCAAACATCTTTGAATGGCATGCTGTTGGTTTCATGATTTTTGGTAAGATAATTGAAATCATGAGTTTATGCGGATATAATTTTTCAATCAGTTTTTTTATTAACTGATTTTTGATGGATTTAAATGCTTTGTAGCATTTTTACTTGCTATGTTAATCGTGTTATGTAATAGATTCGAATTGAGAAAGCATTGTTTGCGAACATATCAGTTAGCAATTCAGAAAAAAAAATTTGCTGATAAGTTCGCTACACGCTAGTTTGTTTGATTTTTGTTTTTCCTTGTTTCTCGATTAAAATCAAACGCAAAATAGTTAATTAAACAAAATCTTTTTAATGCTGTTGCTTATACTAATCTATTTAAGCTGTGTTTAAGAAGGAACTTCAAAAAATGAAATTAAATTACTTAATAATTAAACAAAAACGTATCCAACTAATTTTCTTTGCAACCAGCGTAATTGCCCCTTATTTTTCGTATATTAATTCAGTTAGGCAGCTATCGAAAAGTAAAAAAAAATTGCAAGAAAACATTTATAAAGGTTACGAGCTCTCTGTTTAATTCAAAGAGCTTCAAGGCCATGTTCTGTTCTTGGAAAATCAAAACTTGATGAGTGTTTTTTTTTAAAATCTGAATCTAGGTCTGGACAAATCGTGTATAGGTCTTGGTGATTTTTTTTCGGGAAAAAGGCTTATTATTTGTTCACGCTCAATTTTGATTTTTCGCGGTTTGACTATTGATTTTTTTTTTTCAGTTAACTTCATTTTTTTGGTAAAGAAGGCAAACTCCATTGAGCAGCAAAAGTATGAAAGTCACGAAAAACGTAATTGACTTCTATTTTCGAAAATGGAATTTAAATATCAGATTTCCCAGCGAAATAAAAGTTTTACCTTTTGATCCAGTTTTCTCAAATTGGGTTCATTTTATCAAAAAGTGAATGTCAATTCAAAAGTCGAAGGTTTTTCAAAAAAACAAGTCAGTTTTTTTTTCAGTTCCGTTCATGCCTATTTTCCAACTCTCTGTTAGCTATGTTTCGTAATGTAAATCCTAAGTATTTCGGCAACTTGGAAATGATTCCATTGTTTCGGATAATTTTAGCTCATTGGGTCTCGACTTCATTTCTGTCGGCTTGCTTTCCTAATGAAAATTTCTAATTTTCCCTAATTGATTGTTTTTAAATTTGACTAGGTATTTTAGAAAGCTTAAAATCAACTTCTCCGACTCGCTTTAAAAAACTAAATATAAACATAAAAAATTTCCTTTTTCAATTTTTTCTTTTTTCTTACAGAGATAGATTTGTTGCAAGTTGTAGTCAAACATCTTTGAATGGCATGCTGTTGGTTTCATGATTTTTGGTAAGATAATTGAAATCATGAGTTTATGCGGATATAATTTTTCAATCAGTTTTTTTATTAACTGATTTTTGATGGATTTAAATGCTTTGTAGCATTTTTACTTGCTATGTTAATCGTGTTATGTAATAGATTCGAATTGAGAAAGCATTGTTTGCGAACATATCAGTTAGCAATTCAGAAAAAAAAGTTTGCTGATAAGTTGGAGAATTTATTGTTTTAAAATGTCAAATTTAGTTGCTTTCCGCTTCTTTTTCTATAACACCTATTGTTTTTCTCTTGCTCTATTGTGTTCAATTTTCCCTATTCAGTTAATTGTTGATATTATAAAGACTTTTTTGTATGTTTTTGATTTTATACCCACCAAACTTTCCTGTTAGTCAATAAAAGAAAGAAATAATCGTCTTTTTTGACTGCATAGCTTTATATTAATTATTTTCCTAGTTTATTTGGACTTTCTAGTAATTCAGCATTTTCTTTTCGTTATATTTGAAGTTTTTGTTGCTAATTTATTCAAGTTAGAATTCTTTTACCCCTGAGATTAACAAAGTTTTTGCAGCCAGGTACTAGACTTTTTTTGTAAACAACTTCGTTCACAGGACTCATCTGGACTTATATCCTGGTGGTATTTGGTTCATATGAAATTTTAGCATTTCCGGATATTTTTTTCAATCTCCAAACTTTCTGTTCTCATTAAGATTGTCAGACTAATATTTGTAGGCTTTGTTGAGTTTATGCTGTAGGCTTATGCTTTGTTGAGTTAGTTGCCACATTGAATCATGTTTTACTGTATGTGTTTTTCCTTATAGTTGCTTTTAGGTTATTCTTGCAATTTGTAATTTTATTAACCCTGAATTCAATAATTTTTTTCACCCTTAATGATTTTTTTTCAGCTGATTTTTTTTCACCAGATTTTGGCTGGTATTTTTCAGGTCGTTTCAAGGGAAACACAATTTTCTGCTCCCCTCCGAATCGCACAAAAATTTTTGGGTCAAACATCTTGCTTTTGGTTCTACTGGAATTTACTCAGTTTTTGTCGGCTCAGTTGCCGCTCAATAATTGTTTTTGAATTTTCATTAAGTACCGTTAATTGTGTTTTTGGACGCGTTTTTAGCATATAAAAAATCTTTCCAGACAACATTTTGAAATTTTTTTTAGTTGTGGTTTCTTAGACCTAGTGGCTTATCTTTTCTGTCTGCTAGCTTGAAATGCTATTTTTATGTGGTATCGCAAGTGTGAGCGAAGCTCCGCTTCGCTGTTGTCTAAGTTTTTTGGAACATCGCTCGAAAAATCCAAAAATTCTGTAAATTATCAGCTTTATAAAAGTCGCATTTTCGGACTATCGTGTTTCTGATTACTTTGATCGGCTTAGTTCCTCGGCACGCATTTTTGTTATTATTCAGCTATTTTAATCATTGAATAGTACCATGTCTGAAATTTTCTTTGGCCAAGTAACTGTTCAAGTTATTGTATATTTTTTGCTTTTATTTATTTTCGACTTAGTTAAATTAACTTCGGATTGTTATATCGATTTAGTTGCCTCTTATTACGTCGTTTGAAGAGTAAAACAAGATTTCTATGCATTTCTGGGCATCGGCAAGACATAAAACAGAAATCGTTTTTGCTCCATAATTTTTCCCGGCTCAGCATATTGTCTCCATAGTAACCAATAGCGGATTTGGGTTAACTCTGTCTATTTTTCCAAAAAGTGCCTAAAAACGTCTTTTTGCTCTGGCATGTTTTTAAAAAAAATTGCATGTGGCGCAGAAAATGTTGTCTAAATAGTGTCTTTATCATGATTTGGGAGAGCTCAGAAAATCAATTTGGGAGAGCTAAGAAAAAGTCGACATAATTTTTGAAAATCATAGATCTGCTCCTGATAGTAACCGTTCGATAAATTTTGTCTAACTGTTTATTTTTTGCTGACTTATTAGCTAGCGACAGGTTTTCATTGAATTGAGTTTTATTTGAGACAACCGTATGAACACTTAGGTTGATATTTTTCTGAATTTTTTCAATTTTTTTGACTGGCTATCGATTGCTGCCGTTATATATTTGCGTTGCATCGTAAGTTTTTATGCCTCTCACATATTCAGCTGCTTGTCAGATATTTTGCTCACTGCAATTCGCAGTGATGGGCCAGGTTTTCATCGCATCTGTCTCCTGGTTAACTGACTATTGGGTTGAATCACATGACCGATTTGGAATCTTATTCCCGTTGTTTTACAAATTCAAAATTTTTTGTTTATTCAGACTCTGTTCGCAATTAACATTTTCTTCTAAGCTTAAGCATGCTTTAAGTTTTGTTTTGCAAAGTTTTGTTTTGTTTTGTTATTTTTTTTTGTAAAATCTTCAAACAGTCATAAAAAGATTTGAAGCCCAATAAATTACTCAAGAAAGATGAGCGAGCTAATACACGAATGTTTATACGGAGAAACAATTTGATGGGAAATTGGACTCCTGTTGTAAGAATTTGAAAAATTTTCAGCATAGACCAGATATTTGCACATTAAACAGATATTCTTGTATTGCATTAACTGTTAAGCTACATTTTATAAAGCCAAAAAAGCCTTGAACTGAATACTTTGTCGTCTGTAGAATAACTGGTTACCACCTGGCTTTAAGTGGTATTAAGAATTTTTGCCCTTTTATTGCTAATTCGCACCTCAGAATTGTGCTTTATTGGGTTTATTTTAGCTCTACGTGCACTGGACATCTACTTGATTAGCTATAACTCACATGGAGCTCCTTTCATCAGAGCTTCTAACCTGGCCAGTTCCAGTGGGGGTTCTGGAGCCCCCCGGATGAAGGAAGAGAAGGAGATCCTCGAGTGGTTCTCCCACATATTCACTTCACAGCCGGTGAACATGTTCACTGAAGTGTTCACGGAGTCCATTGATTTTGTTGTGCAACGTCTGCAACAGGTGAGATGGCGTGTGCTGTTGGGGGGGTTATACTCTGGAGTATAGTGGTTTGCGCCGCACTCGATAATTGTGTGCCTCAAATCGACATCTCTCAGCTCACAAAAGTGAATGTATGTTTTAAATACGCTCACGATAAGCAAACATTGTAGACAACTGAATTCTACTTATCAAATTACTCAGTTTTATGCAGCAGCTTTCAGCACCAACTTTTTTTGTTCCGACCATTTGAAAAATGTGAGGAACTTGGTATTCGGGTGTGTTTCTTTTTTCTTTTTTTTTGTTTTCCACGCAAAATTAGTTACCACAAGTAATCAGGGGAATGGGTCGAGTGATGTATCATATTACAGCACTTTTAGTGGTGATTGAAACGACATAAAAATATTCGAAAAAGTTTTCTCAGCTTCGAGAAACACCGGTTTGAAATTTTTAATTTTTGATCTAATTTCGAGCGAATAAGGTGAGCGAGCAGGCTTATTTTGAAATTCACTCAAAAAATTTGCCACAAGTAATCATCGGTGTGGGTGGAGTGATATTTCTTATTAAAGCCCTTTCAATCCTGATTCGAACGACATTTAAAAAAAAATATCGAAAAGTTGTCCCATTGTCGAGAAAATCCGGTTTGAATTTTTAATTTTTGGTCTAATTTTGAGCGAATACGGTGAGCGAGCAGGCTTATTTTGCTTTTCAACCGAAATTGTTTACCTCAAATAATCGTCGCAATGGGCGGAGTGACTTATCATGATAATCTTTTTGATTTTTTTTCAGTCATTTTTCGACAAAAACCGTAGCCTGATTTGTTTGTTTTACTGTGACTGTCGAATATACCTGAATTTGAGGTTTTCTTCTGATCCTATTATCCTACCACGCACGAAAAACAAAACTAATTTGAAAAAAAAGTGGAAATAACTTCATGTATATTTTTTGATAATGACTTGTCTCCAGTTGTTTTATTACGGGTAGTATGGAAAACAAGACTGCTCGTTTATCAGGGCAAAGCCCTGAATGTTCCGACTGTCCCTTAGTTTATATCGAATAGTTTTTGGGAAAAGAAAATATTGAAAATCTATAGATTTTTGACAAAATCTAAGTGTGAAATGTTGAAACGTATGAAATTAATACAACCGATCCGATTAGCTAGCCTTAATTCAATTTGGAATGATTTTGGGGGAGGGTTCTCATGCTTGAAGGACCGAATGCTTGAAAAATTTCAACCAATCAAAATCGCTAAGCGTTTTCATTGGCTAAATGCCTTTCTCACAAAATCGAAGCCAATATTAACAGAAAATGTATTAAATCAGTGGAAAATAATCAAAAACATTACAAATTGCGGGTTACAACCGCAATACTATTCAGATAATCATCAAAATTAATGCGGTCAAAATCATAAGAATTTTCAGTCTTGAAAACTCGTCTGCTTATTATCTAATCGGTCAATATTAACACTAATGACTTGGATTTATTTTCTTACTTTGAGATTTTCGCGATTTACTTTGAGATTTTGAATACTCGATTCTGATTGGCTGAAAGTAAGCTAAAATTAATTTCAAGCATTCGGTCCTTCAAGCATGAGGGACGCCACGATGATTTTGTTGTGCGGGATAATTCGCCGCGCATAAATAATTCGCGTTACACTCTCAGCATTATGAATAAACTCTTCAAAGCGCGCATAAGTCTGAAATTTACTAAAAATAATCGGAGGTGAAATATCTTCTTACATTTGAACTCAAGAAGTCGATATCTTCAATGGGTTTTTAAAAATTTTTGATGAAAATTATTATTTCGATCGGTGAAAATTGACTGAAAAAAAAACGACACCGAGCATAGATATTCCGTTTTCTTCGAAAGTCGGAACAAAAATATTAATCCTTTTGTCGAAAACTACTCCGCCTTACGCGATGAACCATCAATGAAATTATTCTGCATTTGATTTGTTAGCTTCATTTTCTTCAATGTAGCTTGTTTTGTTAGTGAGATGAACGGTAAATTTTGTAGTTTAAATTTTTCTAACAAGACAGGGAGTTATGTGTATTTAGAACTACGCTTTGCAAATCATAGTCAACTCATTCCTCGCCACTGCTTCTACAAGTCCAGCATTTGCCACAATTCTGGTCGAATATCTTCTAGAGCGAATGCCAGACATAGGTGGGGTCGGAGGATCCTCGTGCAGTCTATCGACATCATCAACAACTGTAAAAAGTGGACAATTAGGAGGCACGAAATCGACGCATCTAAACAACACTTCCGGTGGAATTGACACCAGTAATTTGTATTTGAAGCTTTTCAAACTAGTGTTTGGATCGGTGTCGCTTTTGGCACATGCTAATGAACAGATGTTGAAGCCGCATTTGCAGTCCATAGTTGACCAGTCAATGAAGTTAGCCCAAACAGCACGTGATCCAATCAACTATTTCTATTTATTAAGGGCACTCTTCAGATCTATTGGGGGAGGGTCGCATGATTTGCTCTATCAGGAGTTCCTGCCGCTGCTTTGTAATTTACTACAGGGTTTAAATCTTCTGCAAAGCGGTCATCATAAGAGTCAAGTTAAAGATTTATTCGTGGAGTTGTCACTTACAGTTCCAGTTAGGTTAAGTTCACTATTGCCGTATCTTCCGCTCCTCATGGGTCCATTAGTATCCGCACTTAACGGTTCCTCTACTCTGATTAACCAGGGACTCAGGACCCTGGAATTGTTTGTCGATAACCTCAGCACGGATTTCATCTATGATCACATTCAACCAGTGCGTGCGGAACTGATGCAAGTAAGATATCATATCATTTTTTCTAACTTTGAATTTAGATTAAGTGTTTTCAAATTATAAGCTGTCTAAAGTTTTGTTATTTTGGAGTTCGATCGAACTGAAAATATGAAGTGAAGTGGTTTTTAGAGATAGATATAAACAGATGGTCGTGGTTTCAAAAAGTTCGCGCACCTTAGAAAAGTAAGGAACAACGGAGAAGTGGCAAAGTCCTTTCCCTCATGGAGAAATGGCCTTAACAAAACAGCTAACTTCATGTAACTTAAATCTTTGCTTGTCTGGGAAGATATTAGTGCATATTAATGAATTGCTTCATAATATCAACTTTCACAAACCAATAATTTGATATCCTCTGTATTCCGTTGATATGTATAGCTTTAATCATTAAAATGTTGCAGGCGCTTTGGAGAACTGTTCGAAATCCAAACCCAGTATTGGCAACTACCGCTTTCCGAGTACTCGGTAAATTCGGTGGAGCGAACCGAAAAATGCTTAAAGAACCACAAGAATTAGTGTACAAACAAGACACCCTTGCAAACGAAACAGATGGAAATTCCTCAACATGTTACCCAAAAGTAGTATTCCGATTCAAAGACGCCAATGACTCGTCCAAGCTACCGATTGACTATTTTGTCGACTTGGCTCTTGATTGTATTTGCGGCAAGTCGGAAGATGAATTTTACCAAAAAGAGTCATTCGAAGTGCTGAAAATGATTTTGCAGTACAATATAAAACAGACATTACAAGATCAAGATAAAGTTGAGGTGCTGCACTCTGAAATTATGAAGAAGTATGGCTCAGAGAACAAAACCGACGTTTCTCAAAATGTGAAAGGTTTTAATACATCTCGGGCTCCGCGGTTCGCAAAAAGCGAAAGTCGGGTACTTCTGGAAAATTGTTTGGTTGGAGTATTTTCAGCTTGCAGCGTGAAAGTCTTGAAAAAGGAAGCTGACGCTTTTGTGAAAGATCTCATTAATGCTCTGATGCTTATTTCTACGGCGCAAGGTAAGATCTTTATTATTCATTTTTAATAAAAACGACATCGAAAAAGTAACCAGTTATTCTTGTTTCTTTTCTTGTTGTTTTCCTGGCAAAATCAGTTGCCACAATTAATTATGAGAATGGTTCGTGATATATCTTATTAAAGTCTTTTTAGTCGGGAATCGAAAAATATTAAAAAGTTTCCAAAAAGTGTCCCAGTATCGAGAAAAAATGTTTAAAATTTATGATTTTTAGTTTAAATCCGAGCGAATAATGCGAGCGAGCAGGCTTACAATAGCTTATTTTTGCTTATTTTGGCCCTGAAAACTTAGTTTTACTCAAGTAAAGTTATATGTGGAGTTTTTTCTAGGGCCATTTGAAATTAATAACTTCAAAAGTTAAAAAAAATGTCTGCAAAAAATGTGAATTTTTTTTTCCGAATTTTTAAGTTTTTTCTTGCTTTCTTAGTCATTTTTCTACTAATTTTTGCCTCTTTTACTATGACTGCCAATTGTTCTTAAGTTTCATTTTTTTCGTTCAGGTCCTTATCACACCCTGCAGAGAAAAATACTAATTGTTGTATATTCTAGACTATGGTCGGAACATTGTGCTACTTGCACATTAACCGGCTTTTCTTGTTGAAGTTTGCGTTTAGTGATTGAGGCAGGATCATTCAACTTATGATTCGTAATTACATTTAGATATTGAAGCTATTATTTTTTGAAATTCAATGTTTTAGCTGTTAAACTAGAAATATGCAATGACCGGGAAAATAAACTAAATGAACCGCTGTTCGCGTTCTTTGACGACGGCATGATTTCTACTGCGATCACGAGGACATTTAAGAAAGAAGACTTGCCTTCAAATCAGACATCATTGGCACTTGTCGAATTGATTTACGATAGCTTGAAAGACTTAGTTGGGGATAAAAACGCCTCAACTATGCCCTTTTGTCAGTTTCTAATCGAAAAAGTTTGTGACTGCTTCTACGATAAAGCGTGGTTCAAAAAACAAGCAGGATGTTTGCTCTTGGATAAATTACTGCAATTGTTCAATTTGAAGTTTTTCTTGTGGAATCAATCAAAAATAATAGTCAGTCTGCAATATGCGTTCATTGACTTAACAGGCGAAGTGTCAAATGGAGTGCTGGAACTGTTGCGTGCAACTGTCAAGAATGTTTTGCAATTTTGCGCCTATAGGAAGGACGATGATGATGTTGATGAAAATCAGAAGTTGTTACTGAAGTCATCACAAGGCAAAGTAGTCGGCGATTTGAGTAGGGAAATTGCATCACCAAATGGCACACTGCGTGAACAGGTACATTAATATGATTGTCATTTGCTTAGCTAAAAATTTTGCAATGCTGCTATGATTAGCTAGGCGTATCGTGGGGTTGTTTTTTGGGCTGCTTTGATCGGCTGCATCTTGAATAAAACTCTGCTCCATCCAATCACCGTTCTTATTTTTTTGGAATCTAGTTATCGTCACTCCACATTTTGCATTCGGGGTTAAAATATTTTTTATTTGAGGTGTGACCAAGAGAAAAAACTCTTCCGAAATTATGATTATTTTCATATATTTTTTTCGAAATTGAAATTTATCTTTGTCTGTCTAAAAAACAATTGTCAAAAAGTTTAACATAAAACTAAGATACCCCTGTCTGATTATGCCGCCCTGTTTATCCGCATTTTATATTATGTTTTTATCGCAAAATTCATTTGAATTCAGATGTGCGAGTGTCTCAAACTGGTTTCCGAGTTGTCAGGGGAATCTTTGACTGCGCTACTCAAAGACCAGATGGACACTTTGAAAGAACTGGTCCCCCCTGTGAAACACCGCCTCCGATTCCTACCTGTGAACACACAAATTGGACTAATGAGGGCTAACACTTTTCTTCTCACTCATCTACCAGCTGGGCTGCTTACTTACGACGTGAACAACCCAGCTCACGTAGAGTATTTAGATGAGGTTTGATGTTTTCCATCTAAATACAAATCTTAAATACGTAAAAAATTGGATAAATTCATAGCAATTTATGTAAGGGCAACATTTTGTTACAAATTTTAAGTGGCTGAACATAGTGTCTTCTCTGAGGTTTCGCTTTGTATAAATTAATTTAGGGTTTTAATTATGATTCTTCGTATTAAGGGTAATCAGCATGGGTTGCGTTAAATAAGCTTAATCTGGCTGTATAAGGTTTCTGGTCTGACGCAGAAAATGATTCTTCGTATTAAGGGTAATCAGCATGGGTTGCGTTAAATAAGCTTAATCTGGCTGTATAAGGTTTCTGGTCTGACGCAGAAAATGATTACTGCGTTGTAGTTTCTGATCTGCTTCTGAATTCAAACTTAATGGAAAATACTTGCTTTGAGTTGTTTCGATCAGTGTTGCTTGAGAATCTACAAATTGAAATAGAAATTTGCGAAAGTTTCATTTTCTGAATCAAGAACTTCAGGCAAAGCCCATTCATTTTTCTGCGACACTTTTAACTGCCAAGTTTTTTTGTGCAGGGTCTCTTAAAATAGCTTTCGCAGGACATTATATTTTAACCTTTTGAAGATATCGATGAGTTCAAATGAAAACCTATTTTCAGCATGCGATCATTTTTCGGGGCTTAGAAGTTGTCAGTTTGTCCATTTTTGGTTCTAAATATGCGCGATTTCAGGGGCGGATCTAGGATTTTCTCGAGGGGGGGGCGATTTAAAAAAAAATTTCGAAAATTTTGTCGACCTTTATTAAGATCGACCGAAACGATTTTGCGAGTTCTCCCAAAGCTCTAAAAAGGCTCTGTTTCGGCCATAATTTTTGCGCCGCAGCCAAAATTTTGAAAAAATAGGCCAAAATTACCGTTTTTAGTCATTTTTTGGAACCTTTTAACCAAAAAAATCGCGACCTAAAAATTAGTATATGTTGGCGCTTATAGAAAAATTTTTGGGTCCGTCAGCTAAAAATGGATATCCCAAAATAGTACTAAGGAGAAGCTAAATACTCCTTTCAGTTTCCTACTATACTCCCATTACAGTACTGTTTAGCATTTTTCTACAGTTCTTGTTCTTCCGACCACTTCACGAAGAGGGAAGAAACTATGTGGTTACTTGATTTCTTTTCCAGCGCTTTTTATAATAATAATATACTAATAAATTGTTTGCAAATTAGATTCCATTCATTGTAAAAGTTACTACATTTACAACCAAACGAAATCTCATTGCGAGAACGCCGTGGAACTATGCAGCCCGTTTTCAGGAGCCTCTGATAACATTTTGACTAACGCAAATAAATTTCGCAGAATATCAAGTGTGGTATCATATTAAATACCTATTAGTCGTAATTCTGTGTCTAAAAAATTGTCTAAATGTCGATTAAAATCGGTCTACAATTTTTCGATGTTAAGATAGCATTTACAAAATTTGAGACAGCTCTATTTTGATGACATGCAATTCAGTTTAACTGCAACAAAAACGGGAAATTTTAAAAAGGAAAAATGATCTTCTGTATTTGAATCGTTGTGCTTGAAACGTTTTTAGCTACCTGTACAGCAGCCGGCTAACTTTGTTTCTCGCTCTCGCAAAGCATATTCTCTAAAATCTTTTTTATTTCAAAACAAGTTTCTCAATTTTTACGCTGTTTGCAAAATGTAGCTTCGCCTGAGTCAAATTGCACAAATTCTCATACTAAGGCTCCTTGTTGTTCCGGTTGCTAACACAAAGGAAGAACTTGTTTCTGGATGTGTTTTATTTTTTTTTCACGCAAAATCAGGTGCCACAAAAAATCATCAAAGTATCGAGTTATAAATCGTCTTAAGGTATTTTCAGTTCAGTTGTGATTCGAACTACATTGAAAAACTTTCAAAGAGTTCTCGCTGTGTTTAGATAAACTGGTTTGAAATTTAGCCTAATTTCAAGCGATGAAAGGGAGCGAGTAAGTTTTTTTTTTAAGAAAAGCCATATTAACGTTTGGAAATGCTTAGTTTTACTTCAGAAAAATTTGTTTTTGACGCTTTATTTGGCAAATCCTTGGCAATAAGTGTTCTTTTTTAAATCTGTAAATAATCAGAAACCAACTTTGGTTTTGAGTTTTTGCTCTGCTATCCTTTTTTAGGCAAGTTTTTTTTATCAAGAGTCGGTGAGCGTTTTTTTTTTCAGTAAAAAGGTAAAAATTTGTTCAGGCTTAAATTTAGTTTTATTTTTCGCTATTTGACTTTCGAGTTCGTTCTAAGTTCTTATCGTTCTCTTTGTTAAACGGAAGGCGAACTCCACTATCGAACAGCGAACAGGATTTTTTAAGTGTCTGTCGGCTATGTTGAATGTGATTGGAACTGTGTGCTAGTTGCACAGCAACCTGCAACTCTTGCTTACTTTAGCTTTTCTATATCTGCGAGACAGATGAAGACACTCTGAAGAAGACAGTACCCTCTAGCAAAGCTCCTTCCAACCAATGCGTGGTACTGGCTCTCAGAGAAGCAGCACTTCACAATCTATCAGTGTGCCACTTCATAACAGAACAAGCACACCACGAACACATTTTCACTGGTGAGGAGAATTTAGTCATTTGCAAAAAATATGTCATAAAATATATCCTGGATGCGAAAAAAAGAGTAGCGAAACTAGTACTATCAATTTGTCAAGAAATAAAATTCAAAGCTGGTGTTCTATACCACTCCAGCTGAGGGTTTTCCAGAGATATTCTTTGAATAAAAGCCGGTATAATTCAGAAATCAGTCTATCAAAGAAAAAACTTTGATTCTTGCCTAAAAATTCAATTCCATGTTTAAAAGAATTATTTTGTGCGTCTTCCTATGAAATGCAAATTTATGGGGAGGTGAGGTGGTAGGTCAACGGTAATTGGTGAATTTTTGGCTCTTCTGATGACACAGACAGCAAATTTGTGCTTGAGGGATTTCCTTCAAAGTGTGAAATGAAGTTTGTTTGTGTTCTCTGATAGTGATGTACGATGCGCTCAACTCAACTAATGACGAAATCCAGAAAGTGGGTGACAAGTGCACGGAGACTTTTCTGGCCAACTGCGGAACAGACAAACGGCAGAAGGCGTACGAGTACATGCGAGATCTACTCAAATCATTAATGAACAGTTACAAAGTATTGAACCTAAACGCAGTAGCTAGAATTTCAAGTTTGTCCAAATTGTTCCCTCAAAGTTTTAACGAAAGGTTTTGTCGTGCTATTGTGATGGAACACCTGACGTGTTGGGTACGAGACATGACTGAATTGAAGTTGAGTTCGCCCGATGCAGATTATACATTGGAACTGAAAACGTGTTCGCAAATTATAAATTTGTTTCACCTTCTACCTACAGCGCCAGTGTCGTTAGTTGAACCTCTGATTCAGCTGGTGTTGAATACAGAAAATGCAATTGGCAGGGATTTCGCAAATCCGATGCGACCCCCATTTTTCAAGTTTCTAGCACAGCACCCAGAATCAGTTTGCAACTACTTCATGCAGAAGGAAAATCTGAAATCAGAGAAGAAGATTTCGTTGTTTATGGTGAGAATGTTTTATCGCAAAATTTTAGATTCTGATTGAAGATCTTTCTGGACTGAATTATTTTAAAATTTGTATCTTGAAAAGATCCACTTAGATCACTAATAGCTCTCGGCTGCATATATTTTCTAAATTCATCGTCTTATTAGCTTGCGAGCGTTAGTGTATTAGTACGAACCTTCTTTTTTGTAATCAAACAACGAAAAACCTACCGAGCTTGCGAGCGTTAGTGTATTAGTACGAACCTCCTTTTTTGTAACCTAACTCGCAAATAATTTGGTGTTTGGTGGCACTTAGCTATAAACACGATCTGTAGCATTGGAAATTTCATAGCATCTGTTCTCTGCTTTATTTGTGGCTAGTGTTTCAGAGTTTTTAAGCGTATATGGCTGAGTGGATAGTGCGTGAGTTTCATAATCTGAAGGTCATAGGTCGAATCCGAGAAATAGACGTAAAAATAATTCGAGGCTTTTCTTTTTGCTTTTTGTAGAGCTGCTGTTTGTGTTCTCGCTAGTGTTTGCGAAGCGCAGCTTTGCATCTGTGTTAACTCTGTTTACGTAGGGTCAATATTATTAAATAATACGAGGTGTTTAAGTGCAGAAGAATGAAGTGATTTGCACTTATATAGGCTTTGATGATTTTTTGAAGGAAAAATGTTGAAAATTTATTTACGCTCAAATTTGATTTTTCGTGGTTTGGCTTTTGATTTCTTTTAATATTCAGTTTATTTCCTTTTTTTCAAAGGAAGGCAACTCCACGATTGAACAGGAAAAGTGTAAATGTCACGAAAAACTTGATCGGTGTCTAGCTTCGGAAGTGGATTTTAATGTTCAGTTTTCCTAGCGAAAAAAATTATCGATTGATCCTATTTTTTCTAAATGGGACTATGTTTTAAAAAAAGCCATTCATAAACCGTGTTTGAAATTCGAAGAGCTTCAAGATGATTTGTTTATTTTTCGAAATTTGATTGTTGAAAAATTTTATTAATTTAATCAGTTGGAAATTTAATCAGTTGACTTTGTGAACCAAATGTTTTTTCAGTTTGGTCTTCAGCAAGACTTCGGCAAGCCGTTGTTGGATCGTCTTAAAAACAACCCCTCTTATTTTACTAAAGCGGGAATAAATATAGCAGCTGAACAACATTCGTCTGCCGATATTATCCAGACTCCCGATATACAAGTACAAAATAGTCTGATAAAGCTTGTCAACCTAATCTGCTTAACTTATCCATCATGGATTTGGGAGAACTCCGACATTCTTCGAAGTCTAGTAGCCATTTGGGATTCAGAAGAGTTCAGTTGTAGACATCAAGCGTCTTTTATGGCTTCTGAAGTTTTATGGACGGAGGTTGAGCTACTCGTAGAGTGTCTAGTAACCGCGTTCAACGAGGAAACAGAAACTAATCCCAAAACAAAGTTACTTTTCTCCCTTATTCGTGTTTTCCATGCAGGATATTTGACAAGCGGAGCTCTTGTTATGAAAAACTTTCTGGCCGATGGGCTGAAAAAATTCAACATTGCGATGCGAAGGAAAGTTTTCTCCGAATTTACAGAAATTTTTGAAGACGAAAGTTTGAACCATGAAAGCAAGGCGAAGTTTATAACTATGGTCATAACGCCGCTTTTCCGAGATTCGATGAAAGATGAGAGCGTGGACGATTTAATTGGCGAAAAAGCGAATCCAGAGTCAGACAGTAAAACGAACTTGCTTAATATATTTTTGACCAAGTTGGTTATTGCTGAAAAAGTGTACCCTGATTGTGTTAGAATTGCAATTTTACAGCTCGCTTGCGTGTTTGTAGAGTTCTGTGCTTCGCATATACATGACGCAGTTTCAAAGCGACAGCAGGGTCAGAAAATGAGGAAGTTAATGGGCTTTGCTTGGCCGTGTCTTCTCAACAAAGCATGCGTTGATCCATCCACGAAGTACCACGGGCATTTGCTGCTGGCGCATATAATTGCGAAGTTCCCTATCAACAAGAAAATAGTACTTCAGGTAATTTTCAATTAATATCTTGTTTGGAATATATATGGCCTATATATAAAGGGGAACAAACTGGAATATAATTTTCTAGAATAGTATTTTTTTGGACGGAGGCTGGCCAGTCAATATTGTTTGGCTACAGTGTCATCTGGCAAGCATTTTTAATTATAAGCCTGATAATTTTGGTTAATGAGAGAAAATATCAGTTACATGTTCGATACACGTTTTACTTACAAAGATGTTAATATTTTTTGAAGCATACATGTTGAGAATTTTGATCTACATAGCGATGAAAACGTAGAGATTATCTGATTGCTATAATAGTTTCTTTTCGTGCTGTAGGTGTTCTACAGTTTGTTGAAAGCGCATGGCCAGGAAACAAGAAGTGTCATCCGTCAATCATTGGAACTGCTAACTCCTTCGCTCTCGTTGCGCATGGATGACGGAGACGCCATGCTAGCCCACTGGACCAAAAAAATCATGACCGAAGAAGGTCACGCTTTGCCACAGATGCTGCACATAACATGGCTCATAGTCAAACACCAGACTATTTTCTACAGAGTGCGAAGCTCTATGAGTGCGATGATGTTGAATGCGATGAACAGATTAGTGTTCAGTAGTTCGGTGTCTCTCGAAAATAGAAGACAGGCCATAGATCTGGCAGAGGTTTTCATTCTATGGCAGAAAGAATCCAAGTCAGGTAAGTTATCAATTTAATGCCAATTCTTTGGGTTTACTCAGTAGCGGATTTAAAGAGACGATGGACGCCCATTTCGCCTCAAGGTTCCGACCCCCTTGACCCAAAAGTTCCCCCTGTACTATTTTATGACATCCATTTTTGACCTACCAATTCAAAGAAAGAAAGAAAGAATTTATTTCTCCAAAGTTATAATAAAACATCAAAATAGACACAGCATCAAAATAATTAACTCGGAGAGGATAGACAAAAGGCACATTGAGCGCCCACTTATAGTCTACCCGGTTTACATCAACAATTCAGGTTATTTAAACAAAATAATGATAAAAATAAAATATCTTTTTGATTTTTTGATATTTTCATTAAAAAGGCGATATTTCGGATATAAAAAAACTATTGTATTGGGGGGCAGTCCTTCTATTGAAGCACTGTCACCGTTGTTAGAGAATATATATAATTGTGGAAAAAAAACAAAAAAAAAACAAAAAACAGCGATATCTCGAAAACTACAAGGATTTGGAGGCTCATATTTTCAGGGTATATTCGCAGCTCATATATGGTTGTCGTGCATATATGGTTAACCACTGCATTGAAAAAAAGGGGAACGTTAATTAAAAATATATTTAGTTAGATCGCAATTACCCAGAATAAAGCTATTCAACGTTTTTCTGAAGGCGCCTCCTATTTATCACTAATGAAACGCGATTTTTGGTCGAAGTTTTCGACAACTGCCTAAAAGGCGACTTTGTCCAATTTTTTCAAAAATGATCCGATAAAAATATAGGGTTAGTGTTAGGGTCCCTTTAGTGTCCCTATCGGCAAAAAAGGACTAATAATTCACTCAAATTATTATTTTTTTCAAGAAAATTTTAGATCCGCGCTTGGGTTAATATATACATTGAATGTTGGTTTTTCTGGAAATTAAAATTAGCCTATCTCTTACAGAAGTCGAGCAAAATAGCCAGTCAGGTAGTTTTGGTGCAAAAATGAAAATTTTGTACTGATCAAGACCGTCCGAATTAATTGCACTTAGATTTTAGGGCCAAAAGTTCATTTTAATTCTTATATTTTTAATCAAGCAATGCAGTAAGAAAGGCCAGTAGACAATAATCTACCATTAGTGTTTGAACGGTCTACAGTTGTTTCAGAGTGAAATTATCATACCGTTGTTAATTAATTATGAATAATTTTAGAAAATGCCAAAATTCCAAGTGACGAAGACGTTGGACAATCCGTGAAAACGGCTAATTCGAATAGTAAGTAACCGAATCTTTCAAACTTTAGCAAGTGATGCGAACTTACAAAATTTGCTACCGTACTTTTGGCTATGTTTTTTGCTGTCAAATTTAAGGGCTATTTTACAAGTCAAATATTAGCAGCAATTTCAGTTTGTCTAGCTGGAAATGGTTCTAACCAAAAATGATTGTTTGTTTGTTTGTTAGAATCGGATAGTGATGCCGAGCAACGGAAAATAGCCGACAATGTTTTGAACTTTCTTTTGCGAATCACGGCTTCCCTCCACGACTCTTCAAATGCGAATTCGGCTCAATGTGATCTTTACGTAAAGAGATGTATTGCACTCCTGAAAACTGCTCTGTCCAGTGATGTCTGGGGTGACCCGATGTTATCTGGAATTGAGATCAAACTTGCCTGGATGGATAAAGTGCTGATGAGCAGCGAACAGTCTAATGCGAATGTGGCAAATCTGGTCAACTGCGTGGACGTACTGGAACTCTGCCTCAATCATTTGGTACTAAAAACTAATTGTTCGCTTTATTCTATTATGCTTATTTTGAAATTGTAAATGACCGTAGATTATTTGATTTTGAAGAGTTCTCGAATTCGTATTTGGTCGACAAAAAATGCTTATTCGTACTGTAGTTGAGATAGCTAGCGAGAAGAGTTGAAATAAAGTCTTCCATTGTTTCAGCCAAACAGTGAGTGTATTTCTATCATGAAATCAATCCAAAAAGGACTCACGGCTCTCCTTCATTGTAAGACATCAAGAGTGTATCGTCCCTTCGGTGATTTCATGACGAAACTCCTCGCTGCGCATCCGCCAATGAAAAGCCACCTTTGTGGAAACATGCCTGCGAAGTCAGTCGCACCAGACCCGAACTTGGACGATTCGACAGATTCTATGGACCAATCAGACTTGTCCTCGCCTGAGAAGTCGGCCGCACCGGCTGTCGTGCAGAGTGGATTGGATTCTTTCTACGACACGATGTATAGGTGTATCTATGACGGACTGCAAGCATATGAGAAGAAAGTATTTTCCTCGAAATTTGAAAGATTTAAACGTGCAACTGTCAAATTACTTTAGTTTAGACTATAAACTTGAAAGCTATTATAGTACCGAGTTTACGGGTCAAGATTTATGCATGAAAGTTAAACTGATTTTTCATGTCTACGCTAATATATCAAGTTGCACAGTATCTACTCTGTAAACAGCTTCTCTTTCATGCGTTTGTGTCCTTTAGGAGCGCCCAAATGATCAACTATAAAGTGGTGCAACCGATAGTCGGTCTTCTTAGTGCAGTCTATATGAATTCCATTAGAGCATTGGATAACGAAATGACTGAAAAGGTCATCAGGTGTCTCCAGCGGCTCGTCCGTGAACACCTCTCGCCTTCGCAGATGTCGCAGTCTGAACATGCGGTGTCGGATCTGATTGTGACAATAGTGAAGGTGCTGCAGCCTAGATTGACCCCGATGAACCCAGACTTGAGAAAAGTGTTCATTCAGGTCCTGATGGTGTCGCTGATTGAAAAGTCTACGGAATCTAAGGTAGACGTATCTAAATTTGATTGGAACGCATACAAAAGAAAACACAAAAAGTAGAAAAAAGAAAAATGAAATTCAGAATAATCTGAATTTCTTTGCAAAATTTCAAAGCTCGTTTTGTCGATAATTAAGCCGATGATTGTAATCATTTGTTTGTTTCGTGGTAGGTTATGATGCACTTAATCGAGTGCCTGGACACTTGGGTTAGGGGATCTGCAGAAAAATCCATAGGAGGCAGTCTCTCAATATCTGGCCCCACTTTGAGAGAGAAGTCGCTGCTTCTGTTCAAGATGATGAATTCATTGGAAAAGAGGTTCCCAGACGACGCAAAACTGCATTCTGCATTCTTGAAAACAACTCTCTTTGTCTACAAGTAGGTGACCTTGAGAATAAAATTATACATCGACAATAAAATAGTGAGATTTTACTTTTGTTAAACTGAATTAGTTAAACTGAAATTTTTCAATGCACCAATCCGTACTGTTTAATGATTTTAATGGTATTAGATTATCTATGATCTAGTAGTTTCTGAGTATCTTGAGTTTATTTACTTGATGCATATAAGGCGAATTACCATCTTCCAAAATGCTGATGCGGTATTTACACAAGCCCAGCGAAGTTTGATATAGTACGATGAAACTTTTTAACGATCTAAGTAGCAAATAATGCTTTTTTTTTGGGAAGTTTGTGTGGTTACCTTAAGTTTACAGTGCTGATTGCCCTTGCGATAAGCAAGGGTTTTGCAACCGAGTATTAGACTTTTTTTCCCGTAAACAAATTTGTCCACAAGGTTCGTCTGGACTCATCTCTACCTTGTTTCATAATGTATTCAAATTTCTTAGCGTTCCCGGCCAACTTAGCCTGGAGGTAACGAATATGCCTGGGACGGCAAAGGTCCTGGGTTTGAATCTGACCAGGACCTGATTTTTTTTCAAACGGGAAATATTCGTTTCAAATAAAATTGTCGGCCAATTATCTGTCTGCTTGTCTGTTGTCGGCTTAGTTGTCACATCTTGGAATTGTTTTTTTTTCTGCGCGCATTTTATTTTTCTTTAATGTTGTTTTTAGTGTCTGATTTACGCCTAAATTTTGTAATTTTACCGAGCTTGACTTCGTATTTCCTCTTTTTTCGTTTCGGCCTATTTTTCATCGGCCTAAAGACCTTTTTTTAAGCCGTTTCAAGATAAACACAAGTTTAGCACTACCCTCCGCACTTTTCAACTTGATTGCATGTTGATTGCATTTCAAAGAAGGGGTATCAAATGAAAGACCGCTTACTTCTCTGTGTGCATGCGTACTCCCCCGGAGTCTTTTGGTACTGGACCCCTCAGTCTACTGCCTTGAAAAAAGTGGCTGAATATTTGACCCATAAATTTAATTTTTTTTTCGTTCTCTCGAAAACTACTCTTCTCAAATATCAGAAATCTGAGTGTTTGGTTTCAATGAATTGAACTGTTTTGAAAAGCTCCTCGGCATAAGTGGCTACGAAGAATTTTTTTGCCCATAAAGTTATGGCCCTCGGAATAGTCAAGTTTTTGATTTCTGACCGTTATGTGAGTCTTTTCGACTTCTCGAAAACTAACCTATCAAATCTGATATTGTGGTTTCAAGGAGATAATGGGTAGTGGGAAGCTCCTCTGCATTAGTGGTCACTATCAAAAAGTTGTACACAAGAATTTATCGCCCTCTGAAAATTCAAATTTTTGATTTTTTGATCGTTTTCTTAAATTTTCTGTGATTGTTCTCGAAAACTACACTGCCATACCTGAGATTTTGGGTTCAATTTGCTTATGCGAATACGACTAAATTTTTTGACTCCCAAAAGTTTTTGCCCTCGGAAAAGTGAAAATTTTGATTTTGTGACCGTGTTTTTTTGAAATTTTTTGACTTTTCTCGAAAACCACCCTCCCAAATCTGAGATTTTGGGTTCAATCGAAATTGAAGGTTGCGTGAGTTCGTTCTGCATAACGTTTCTGCATAGTTTTTTCACTTAAAAGTTATGATTCTCGTAATCGTCAAATTTTTGATTTGTTGACCGTTTTTTGGACTTTTCTTGCTAACTATCCTGCCAAATCTAATATTATAGGTTTAATTGGGAATGAATAGGTTGTGAAAAGCCTACCTTTATAATTGGCTATGCCCAGTTTGTGTAAGAAAAAAGTTAGGGCCTTCAAACAAGTCAAAGTTTTGAATCTTTGACAGTTTTTTGGAAACTTATTGACTTTACGCGAAAACTACCGGTTCAATTCTCAGGTTGTTCTCAATCTTCTTTGCTTAAGCGGCCCTAACCTGCTGTTTGCAGAAAAACGTTTCGGATTTTGGAAAGTCTTTTGAACGTTTTTTAGAACTTTTGACCGTTTTTTGGACACTTCTCGATTTTTCTTATAATTTACACAATCAAATCTGAGATGAAATTTTCCATCGAAAGAACAGGTTGCGGTAATTGTTTCTGCAGAAGTGGCGATTCTCTAATATTCTGTCAGAGAAATTTATCTACTTGAGAAAAGTGACTATTTCAAAATTTATTACTTTTCTCACTTATTTTTGTAGAGAAGCAAGCAACTAAGGTTTTGGGAAAATCATATTTTTGGGCAAATTCAATCAATATCAAACACATACCTCCAGCTTTAGCTGGGCCTGTAGTTGTTTTTTATCGAGACAATCGAAAATTTTTGGTTCACCTAGTTTTTTTTAAACATCTATTTTTTTCAATTTTTGTTAAGTTTGTGTTGCATCGCAAGTGGTGCGAAGCTCCACTTCGCCTGTGTTTAAGTTCAAAATATCCGGATAAAACGAACAGAATTGGAATTTTATTTTAAAAGCGTTTTTTCTCAAATTGAGTTGACTTTAGATATAAATGACGAGAAGAGAAGTAGCTTAGACATTTACCAGAACTAATATGGTGCACTTTGTTTTACGAAATTCAGGCTAAAATTTTTACCCTAAAACTTCTTTTTTTCTATGAAAAAGTTAGGCTGAAAGTACTGAAGAAAATGACGAGCATTATAAATCAAGGAGAACCTTGTTTGTAGCCCAACAACGTTAGTGGAGGATATATTCTCCAAAAACGCGCAAAAAGTATGCAAACTGTTTTTAAATCAAAGTTTGGCATTTTACTTACGTAGTGAAAATGACATTTTTTATTATCAAACAAAGTATTATTTTATAAACTTTTTGAGAGAAATGAAACCCTGCTTAAATTTTGTTGGGCTACACTAGAGCTTCTCGTTGGTATATAATCCTCGTTAGTTGCTTCAATACTTTCAGCGTAATTTTTCATTGAATAAAGGGAGATAAAAAAGACCATCTTTTAGGGTGAAACTTTCGGCCTGAATTTCCTAGAACAAATTGCACCATTAAACTTCTGTTGAATTGCACCATTAAATTTCTGACTTAACTTCATTTCTGTTTGAGAAAAACGCGTTAAAAAATTCCAATTCTGTCAGTTTTGTCCGGTTAAATTTAAATCAGCGATGTATTACATTCCAAATGAATATAAGCAAACTTTGTGTTTTCCTGCATTTTAGAGCACCCGATTTTTTTGCGGTTTGATAATTGATTTTTTTTACATTTTTTTTCATTCTCCCTGTTAAAGGCAAACTCCACTATCGAACAGTAAAAAGGTAAAAGTCGCGAAAAGCGTGATCGATTGCTAGTTTCGAAAGTGGATTTTGTTTTTCTGAGTTTTTGCGGAATAAAAAACTACTTTATGATCCAGTTTTCTCTAAGTGGGATAATTTTATGAAAAAAGTGCCAATCAGCGACTCTATTTGAAATTCAAAGAGTTTCAAGGTGAATAGTTTTTTCTTGGAAAGTCGAAAAAATATGATCCATTTTTTTGAGGGTCGTTTAGAGTGTCTGCTAGTCGGACGCAGATTTTTGACGCATTTTTTTCTGGAAATAGTTTAAATGATATTTAGGGACGATGAGCTGAAAAAGACTGAGTTGTCGTCCAAACTGGAGCCTGCTTTTATGAGTGGACTTCGCTTCACAGCTGACCCCGAATTGAGAACTGAGTTCTTCCTGTTATGGAAAGAGGGCATAGCTCCACAGTCAGTTTATAATCAGCTGCTCTACGTTGTGTGCTCTCAAAATTGGGAGTCCATGCATGAACATTTCTGGATCAAACAATGTGTTCAGGTAAGCAGTAGCGGATTTAGGGGGTTTCTAAGGTGCCTTCGGTGACAATGTATGCTAAATTTAAAGGGGATTCTACCCCCTCTTTACCCAAAGAGCTCGCCATTTGTTAGTATTTTAGGATATCCATTTTCGGCTTACTGACTAAAATTTTTCTAAAGAGTCTTCGGCAGAATTACACGCCGCAAAAAAGCCATGTTTTGTTTCGATATCGTGCCTGCCGCGCAGAGAAATTTGTCAAAACAGGGCATTGTTAGCAGGGGCGGATCTAGGATTTTCTCGAGGGGGGGGGGCGGATTTTCAAAAAATTTTCGAAAATTTTGACGACCTTTTTTTTTAGGTCGACCAAATTGATTTTTCGAGCTCTCCCAAAGCATTGTTTTGGCCCTATTTTGGCAAAATTTTCTGCGCCGCAGGCAAATTTTTGAAAAGCAGTAAAAAAAAGCCTCGCCGTTTTTGGGCTTTTTTTGAAAAATTTTGGCAAAAAAATCGCGTTTTTTTGGCGCGCGCTCCCCCTCAAAAAATAGTTAATCCGGGGCGGAAGAAAAATTTTAGGGTCGGTAGGCCAAAAATGGATTTATTAAAAAGTATCAAAGGGGGGACCCTTTAGGTCGGCAGGGGGTCGAATCCCTGAGGGGGGGGGGCGTCCGCCAACCCCCCCCCCCCGCCTCCTTCCTAAATCCGCCCCTGATTGTTAGTATTTTAGAAGAACTCGGAAATTCAATTTGGCTGATCTAAAATAAATTATGAAACTTTTATGAAATAAATTATGTAAGAGTCGAGAAAATCCTAGATCCCCGCCTTCAGGTAAGAAAAGAGATGCATCTTTTATTTTACAGGCCTCAAAGTTGCAAGTAGACTTTAAGCTGTCAGATACAACTGTGGTAACTTTTTTTGCATAAATTGTCTAATGTATCAAGTTATTAGATCGAAATATGCATGCTTAAATTTTGTAGGATTGCAATCAGATAAATTGTCGAACTAGAGTTATTCAATCGTCCGGGCCGTACATTGGTCTGGCCAGTTTTTTCACCCTTCGAGTGCAAACAGCCCTCAAAGCTCCTTTTCTCACCGGAAATGGATTTGGATGTCGACCAAAATAAACATTTTCGAGTTCTTGTCTATCCCCTGCATCCTTAAAGTTCACATCTTTATTTTTGGACTCCGCCAGTTTTTTCGTTCGCTCTGACGCCGTAGCATTTAGGGTACCTTTTTGAACTTTCCACATTGGGTTGCAAGGTCTTAAAAACTCTTTCGGAAGTCTCTTCGGAAAAGCCAAAGATGCCACATATTGATTGCACTCTGATTTACAGCAAAGAGCACTTGATTTTACTCCAAAAGTCTCGTCTTCAGGAAGATTGTTGGTCGCTTCGCGGGTAATCGGCTTCGAAAGTTCCCGAATACGTGCAGATGTCGGCCGAAATACTTTCGTCTTTGGTTCGTGCAAAGATGCTTGATATGCCTCGTTGATTTGTTCGTCAAGTGCTGTTGTTTTTGGCATCGATAGACGATATATGTCGGGCATTTTTGCTGGCTCCGATTTGGGTCTCGAGTCCGAGTAAGTGGATGTACTGCAACGATGTCTAGGCTTAGACAACTGGAATAGTTCTTCTGATAGTTTATAAGAGAAATTAGCAGTGTCTACGTCCCATTTCGCACTTTTGATCAACCGGTGCGCGGGATCTGCGATGTGTTTCGGCTGGGCCAAGTCGATGATACGCAGAGAGGGCTCGTAGAGGAGAGCGGATCTGGGGATGGGTCGAAGTAGACCCTGTGTTCCCCATTGCCTCGGAGGATCTATTTGATGTCTATTCTTTTTTAAGCAGCATGGTCTAGCACGAACTGGCATTGTTTACTGATTATGATACGAGCACAAATTGACAGGATGTTCTCTTCGTTACGGTCTCTGATTTTTTTTTGCGATATCTGCTAAATTGATATAAAAGCCGTATATTTATAATAGATCAGAATGATAAATTTATGCATGATGTTTCCGTCATACGTTGGAAGTCGTTTTTTTTGCTCATTTGAAAATGAAAGCATACAAATGACTGTGGTTTGGAATGCCTCGTTTGTTTGCACTTAAAATTCACCTGCTTCTAATGTTTTTTTTTTAAATAGAAGATTCTTTTTTGGATGGCCTGATTTTAGTGGCTGTGCTGGTAGGTGAGTTGATAACAGATCAATACCTATTTATTTAAGAAAAGAGACTCTGATATGATTTTACTTATACCTCGGGAAGCTAATAATGAATGATTAATTATCCGGTCATCCAAATCATCCTGAAATGTCTCAGAATAGAATTTCGATTTGTGTATTAGCTTTATTGGCCTAACGATTAAGTAGAGCAATGAAAGGTTGCTGCAAAATATGGAAGTTCGACTCTTTCACAGATATAAAGTTACTCTCTTGAATAACTTTTGTTCCAACCAATTGAAAAATGGAAGCAATTTGTATTCGGGTGTGTTTTAGTTTTTTCTTTGTTTTCCTCGCAAAATCAGGTACCACAAATAGTCATGGGACTGGGTTGAGTGATATGTCATATTAAAGCGCTTTCAGTCGTGATTCGAACGACATTATTAAATTTCCAAAAAAAAACTTCCCAGTGTCGAGAAAAACCGGTTTGAAATTTTTAGTTTTTCGTATAATATCGACCGAATGAAGTGTTAGAACTTGTTGGAATGATCATTTAGGCTAAAAAAACTTGATTTTGATAAACGGAAATTAGTTTTGAAAGCCTCATTTGGCACTTCCCTGGCAAGAAAAGTTTTTTTAAAATTTAAAAAATATGGTGCAAAAAATAGTTCACAAATTCATCTTACAAACAATATAATTCAAATTTATTACTATTGTGCTAAAAAAAGCCTAATTTACTAACTTTTCCGTGTGTGTAGTTTTCTCATCACACCACGTACAACAGAAAGGTTCTAATTTGACGAACTTTGGTTTGTAGTCTTATGAATATGGTCGCAACCGGCTATCCTTGTTATAGATATGAAATCACTGAACGGTTAATTGAATGTGATCAAAGTTGTGACTGCATCTAGGTTCATCTTGATATCGTTACATCGCAGTGATGCATTATTTATTAAGGTCGTATTATTTCTTCACATTGCTTACAAATCCAGTTTTCTCTAATTACCCTTGCGATTTGCGAAGATATTACGTGCTTGATAATAAAGTCAAATTGAATGACGGTTTTTCAGAGTCAATGAATGTAGTTCAGGTTCTTATATAGTTCGTGATGTTTTTTTTTTTCGTTTCAATTTCAGGAAAAGTCTCTAAAATTTGTTCAGGCTCAAATTTACGTTTTCGCTGGTTATTTTTTGAAGTGTCACGAAATGAAAAAATACTCAGTTGTCTAGTTTTCTCAAAATGGGTCACTTTTACAATCAAAATGTCAGTCATAAATTGTTCTAGAATTTCAAGGAGCTGTAAGACTATCTTTTTGTTTTCTTTGAAACTCGAAATTTGGGAATTTTTTTCAAAAAATAAGTTGTGGTTTTCTCTTTACTTAAGTTCATTGACTCTTTTTCAACTATCTGATGGCTATGTTTGCCTAGTGTTAACGTCAACAATTGAAAAGACAAAAGCGTCCGGTTCGATATTTTGATTTTTATCCTTGTGATAAGCAAGGGTATTGTAATCGGGCACTAGACTGTTTTCATGCAAGTAACTTATTTAACAGAATGGTAAAATTTAGAAATGGTAATATTAAGTTCAGTTAATAATTAATTCACATTTTTTTTGCGTCTCCGGCACACTTGGTCTGGAGGTAACGCCTGGGACGGCAAAAGTCTCGGGTTCAAATCTGACAGGACCTGTTTTTTTTTCAAACGGGAAATTTTCCCTTTCAAAACAAAATTGTCGGCTTATCATATGTCTGCTTATATGTTGTCAACTTAGTTGCCACATCGTAGAGTTTTCTTTGCTATACGCAATTTTTATTGTAGGGGCTTTAGTGTTTTGATTTGCTTCTGCTGTTTGTAATTTTACAACCTTGTATTCGTAAATGTTTTGTTCGCTTTAAAACATTTTTATTCCCGATTAATATCGACTCGTTTTTCATAGGATTAGTGACTTAAGTTTCAGTCGTTCCAATGGAAACATATATTTTTTGCGCACCTTAATTGAACAATTTGCTGCAATATTCATAGGAATTATAGTTTAAGTTTTTCATGACAAAAATATTTTTTATCTGTTTTCTTTTTTCGGCTTGATAGGTTTCGACCTATTTTATATAGGTATAATAGCCTCATATTGCGTCTCAAAGCTTGTGTGTGCATGTGTGTGTTTTGAAGCCGAGGGGATTTAGCAATTTTTTAATAATTTTTTTTAGTCTTAATTTTTATTTTGGCTTTTTCGTTTTTCTTATTCATTTTTTTCGGCTCAATAGGTTTTGGTCTATTTTATATCGTCTTAGTGGCTTTATTCCGTTTAATTTGACGAGCAAATAAAACTTATTGTGGGTGTGCTTTGAGGGTGAGGGGACTTCTTAATTTTTTATAAATCTAAGCCTTATTGGTTTTCTTTTCGGCTTAAAGGGTTTCAACTACAATATTTTTGGCTTTCTCATCGCTTAATAGGTTTTTCTCCTGGTACTAATTTCTTGTTTAATTATTATTTTGGCTAGACTGATTCGTTTTGACAGATCTTGTGTTTTTTGACCCTATCGATTTTTTTCAGATTTAGCCGCTTTCATGTTTTGTATCGCAAGTGGCGCGAAGCGCAGCTCCGCCTTTGTGTTCAAAAATGCCAAACAGAATTTTTTTGAATTTCGATGAGTTGTAAGGCCATATATTCTCGAAATTCAAAAAATGACGTTTTTTCAAACAAAAAGTCAGTTTTTTTTGCTTTCAGTAGTCTTTTCTAATTGTTGGTTGTCTATGTATATTATTCCTAAATCTTATCGTTTCTAAATTTTGGAGCTTTGGTTAGCCTGTGTTTTTTTCTACCCAATTCCAATGCTTCAAAGAAAGCTTGTAGTTAATTAATGGTGGTGTTGTTTAAAAGCGCAAAAAATGCGATAGGTGTTATATTTCTTCTATCCAATTATTGCTTGATTATTGACCGTTTGATACATTTTTTTCAATGCTAATTCAACACTGGCAGAGTTGAACTGACTCTTTTAATTGTGCGAGTATAATTAACGCGTTGAAGTTTAGTGCGGCTTAAATGGTTTCGGTTTGTAATTTAGGTTTAGCTGCCTAAACTTACGTCGGTTGCCTAAACTTACGCCGGTTGCCGAGACTTAAGTGCGAAATTAGCTTTTTGTGCGGATGTTGACCATAGAATTTTGCCGGCTGAGATAATTTTTTTCTCAATGCCGATCGAATGCTGGCAATCGTCTTTCGAACGCATGAAGATTTGTCTTTATTTGATTTTTTTTTTTTCGTTTTACTTTTTTTTGACTCACCTGCTTTCGTCTGAATTTCATTCGGCTGGCTGCAATGTTGTATTGTTGTTTTTGTTGTATCGCAAGCGGTGCGAGCTCCGCTTTGCCTGAATTTTTAAACTACGTTTTCAAATCAATTTTTCAATTTAATCATTTTTCTACGAGGTCAATGAACACAGTGAAGACATTTATATAGGTCGTGTTATATTTTTTCGTTTTTTTTTCTTCAGAAAAGTCTTAAAATTTGTTCAAAACAAATTTAACGCTCATTTTCAAACTCTTTTATGAACTGAAAGACAATTTACGCTTTCCAGTTATCAAAGCGGAATTTACGCGAAAAACGTGTACGACTTCGATTTTCGAAAGCGAAATTTAATTTTCTGATTTCCAGTGGAATAAAAAAATTTTGCTTAATTTGTTTTCTAAAATTGGGTTAATTTTTGGTTTAATAATAATTGTGTTATGCAAAATTTGATCTTGAAATTGAAAGAGCTTCATGGGTTTTGAAAGAACTAAACTTTTTCTTTGTAATTTGACAGACAATTCAGTAATTCTGGTTAGTAATTTTTAGTATACAACTTAAAACGGCAAATCGCTACTGGAAACTCATTTGCGAAAAAGTTCCTGATTCAAAAGTTTTATAATTAATGAAGTGGATTTGCTTTGGAAGGTTTTGTGACACTTGCACAGCAACCAGGAACTCGTAACTCAATAGGGAGTAATCAAATAAATGTAGCATAATGGAAACTTATGTTTGTAACAATAGTGATATTTTAGCTGCTTCTCTCAGCTGACAAAGACACGAATTGCTTTGAGTTTAAGTTTCCAGAGGGACTGCAAAACAGCAGCATTGAAACTCATGGCTCATCGCCGAATGTTGAAAATATGAGTTTGGACGACAATAGTTCTGTAGAAAACGATCGACTGTCTCGAAAGGATTCCATAAGTACCGAATGGTCTAAGCGATTCATTTACGACTCTGACAAACAATTGAAACAGTTTGAAGTGTTTCTTGATTCCTTGGGACAATTGGCGAACAAATCGACTGAAATTGCACACAAGGTATGGATTGATTTGTTGCCACAAGCGTGGAGAAGTTTGACTGTGGCAAATCGGAAGACGTTGAGTGCCGAATTGAATCCGTTTCTGGTGAGTGGTGCTCACTTGATACAGAGGGATGCACCTATGAGTACAATGAAAACATTCTTGGAGGCACTGGGAAAATGTCAGCCGACTATCAGTTTGAGACCAGTCGCGTTGAAGGTAGAATTTGAAGGATTTTTCTCAACATTGTTTCTTTAAAAAAATTCAAATCATTTGGTGCTAGACCAAAATAAAAGTATGATGTATGCTTAAAGTTAGTGTCAAATGTCACCCTGAATAATTAATTTACCTAATGCGGATGTAAATATTTAGTTTTTTTTCCGATAATTTCTTTGAAATTTGGTGTCCGTTTGCGATGGCAGTCGCAAGCAAAACCGCATCGTGACTGACGTAGGGTTTTAATTAGATTTTTGACCATAAATGCAAATCTGAAGTAAACGAATCAGTGTTAGCAGTTATTTTGAAAATTTAACGAAATAGGTTGTTTTGAATAAGGGTTGGCTATCAAATATGAATTTCAAGTTTTATCATAGAAAATTTCCTGCTTAGTATATCGGTAAGAGTCACAACTCATGGCATCGTTCTCTCCTCTGGCTCGAGAATCTATACGACAAGCAACATCCGAACTCACTAGCAAAATTCCTAAAACCCTCTGGTGACCAAAATCATCAAGAGCTTCCCTCGCTCAACTCCCAGTTCAATGATTATTATGACACTCAGGATGCTAATGTGTGTCAGCCAAGGGACACTTTTGAGAATTTGTCATCGCTTTGTAAAAGCATGCACGAAGACGATTTGTGGGCGTCGTTGTGGATCAGCCATTCACAGTGAGTTTTGCTACTTGTTCCGATTTAGTGACGCACTCTTTTGAACTTTGGATTTGGATGTCAAAACAAATATTCAATTTTTTTTTTTACTATTTTTGAGACGCGAAACATAAAATTTTTTAGGGAACGCATTTATTTTTATGACAAAAAAAATTCAAACACTGAAAATGCAGAAATCAATGAAATTCCCCTTTGCTTACTGTAAAATGCTTCAGGTATCCCGAAACAGCAGCAGCCATCTCGTATCAGGTGCAGGGACTTCTAGTGGAGGCACAACAGACATACGAGACAGTGATCGCCAACGCCAGGCGAGAAGTAGTTTTCAAAAGCACCAAACCACGTCTACAAAAAAAATGAAATTAAAAAAATATAGTTTGTATGAAATGTAGGGACAAAATTTTGCGAGTGGACAAAATTGGGACGAGACGCCGCAAAATTTTTATTTTTGTCATTCTTATATCACCAGACATTGGCTCTAGTTTATGAGTTTTTTAAAATCAGTATATCAACAGAATTGGCTCATCAGTGAAAGATTCGGTTAGTGTTTTTTTTTCAGTTGGCCAGCCTTTTCAAAGTTTTGAAAAAAGTATTGCGCCTACTAGATTGTTAATTTTATCTTTTTTTAGGTCCCAGTTGGACTCGAACGTGGCCTCTCCCAGTGTGCTGAATGAGTTCCAGCTGTGGGAACAGGAGTGGGTGTGGTCATGCAGACAGCTGAATGAGTGGGAGGTGCTGGGGGAAGTGTGTCGCAGCGAGGACCATCCCAACCCCCACCTCATTTTAGACTGTGCCTGGAGAAATCAGGACTGGAATAAAGTCGAAGACAACCTAAACATCGTGAGTACATTTGTTCACTGTAGTTTCAGTTGGGACTTAAAACTTATATATATTTTTTAATCATTTGTTTTACCGATCAACTTGTGTCTGCTCAAAAGATTGTCGACTTTCTTGCCTCCTTGTACGTTTTGTTCCGTTGCTAATTAAATATTCAATCGTCTGGTATTTTTTCCTGGAATGAATTTCTATCGAGATATCAAGAAATTTAAAATTTTGGTAGACCTATTTTTTTCGCTAACTTTTTCGACTTCTAATGTTTTTACTGTTTTTGTTCCATCGCAAGTGGTGAGAAGCTCTGCTTCGTTTCTGTGTAGAAAATTAAGCTCCAAACAAATCAACTCGATTCAGGAACATCAGGTGCACGATTTAAGTTTTTCTCAAAATTCGTCCAATAGAACAGTAAGTTCAGACGCCCAGCTATTAACCGAAACAAAGAGTTTTGAGAGAAAAAAATCAGACGCCCAGCTATTAACCGAAGCTTACTACATGACTCTAAAAAACCACTGAAAGTTAAGGAAAAACAGGATTAAAATAACCATCATCATTGGAAGCTTGAAATGAAAAACTAAAATGTTGGAGAATTGCGACCTGAGAGGGCAAATAATACCTGTTAGCAGGTTGGAACATTCTTATCAGGCTGTAATAAATCTGAACTGAATGTCTACGCTTGAGGAAATACCATTGCAACAAACACGCTAGTTAAAACAGAAGTTAAAACTCTAGTGCAGAAAATAAAATGTATTCGTCGCTTCTGATAAATCTTGGACTCTTACGTTTCACTCAGGCGAGTCAGTAAATGACCTTATTGTCACAAAAAAATGACATTAAACGCAAAGTGGAAAAAATGAAGACAGAAAAAGAAACTTTGATCCATCTTGAAAGGTGAGCGATACAAAATTGCGAAAAGCTCATCAAGAAGAGGGATCTGAATCGAAAGAAAACAACAATTTTGCTTTCTTTCAGAGAAAAAGCAATAGTCGAGGTGTACGAGTCTCAATAGAAGGACTAAGTAATTATAATCCCATCACCTAGTGATCTGCAAAAATTGATGTTATCTTTGAGAATGTACAATTAAGCGCCGAAGCTTTTTCACTGGCAAAACGAAAGTTAAGTTGCAGACAACATTTTTGCAAATTTGCAGTAGCTACAAAGAATGGATCATCTAACGGAAAACGCAATGTTAACGTCTACAAAACAGCGCTATAATAAACTTTGAACACGAAACATGGAATTAACGACAGACGCCAGCGGTCTGAACAAAAAAGCTAGACGAACAAGAAGCACCTGCAGTGGATCAGATTAAACTTATTTCATTGAGACTTCCTTACAAGGTGTTACCATGTAGCTACATAATCATTCTGCTAAACGACCGAGACAGCGGTCAGAACAGCTCAAGCAGTTACAATTGATTCATGATAAACATATCATCTAACGCTTGATCATCATAATTGATTATCATGAATTGAGGTGGTGGCGTAATAGATTTAGCTAGTGCAAAGTAAATTTAATTATGTACATATTTTATACGACGCTTCAAATTTTGACAGACGCTCCGAGTTCTATTTAAATGAAAAGTATTTGATTTTATGAAGATATGTATAATCATTTAAAAAATGCAGTAATAAATGATCAGCCAAGTTTTTAGAGAGGTTATGTGAAGTTCTTAATTAGCGTCTGGCTATTTTATGCTGAAATAGTTAGTTATCAGATTTTATATAACAAAAAACTCCCTGTGACCATTGTGTTTGAGTTAATATTTGCATCATGCAAACAAAGATATAGCTCACTTATAACATTTTGGTTCTGAGCTGAAAAAAGTCAGAATTGATCTGCAAGAGTTATTAAAATTTTAGAACTTTTTTTCATCAAGTTATCAGAGATGCATTAGACGCATCTAACCCAAGCATTCCTCAGTTAAAGGTTCGCCTGACCGCTCAATCATTCATGCAGAATCAGATATCTGAAGGACAAGAAATAATCAATTTGAGTGATTTACTATTTTCTCTTATTTTTCAGTTTTTCTTTTCATTCAATCGCAATTTATTAAAAGAAAAACAGATTTTAAAAAAGAAAAATTCTGAAATATTTTTCCTTGCCTTAGTGTTTTGTTACTGAAATAATTGTGATGGGAACCTTTCTTGGTACTGAATTAGAAACCATTTATTTTTGTTTCAACTTTGTTTTATCAAAACGTGTCAGTCATAAAAAAATTTCATTCAGTTTTTTTTTTGTAAATGATTTCAATGGATACGTATAATCCTGAAAAAGTTGGACCCGCCAAAACAGAAACGAAAATTTACCATTTCTAAGGTGCAACGAAATGCTTAACAGTATGATTGCGTGCAATGGGGATACAGAATGGACCTATTCGAGTCGTTTTTTTCCTGTTGCGTTTATTTTGATCGATGTGGTGGAACGAAGCAGTTTTCGGGTTAATCATGTGGCGATGAAACGGTATGATGTGTTATTGTGGAACGATAGGTATAGACAAAAGGGCGAACATTGGAATGACGACTGCAAGATTAAAATATGAGGGGATCAATTAGATGAAGCACTTGTTCTCTCAGCCCTGACGGGCCGGAAAACAGGTGGAGAAGCTGCAGTTTATACTGAACATGTTTTTGAAAATGGAAATAAGGAGACAATTGTCTCAACTATAGACATGGAGAAAAAATCCGAGGAGATACGAAAATGAATTAGACATAATTTATCATAGAATGAACGTAAAATTATTGGCACCGATACATAGAAAACGACGAGCCTGTGTTCACTTGACACAAGTGTGTTTATCTTTAATTGGTCATTGCGTATCAGTCATTAGTGCCTTCCACATAGTTCTGCGCGCCTTGATCATCGTTTGGGGTTAACTGTCGTTGGCTTCCCGCCGGCGCATTCACGTAAGCTTGGTTGTTGTTCTCTCTCCTTTGTGTAATTTGTGTCACCGGTGGCTCTTCATTAATACCATCATGGCTTTCTTCATCTCTTTCAATGGCGACAGTGCCCGCTTCAGGGACTTGAGCATACTTGAGACCAGTAATGGTGGCAGTGATACTTTCTGAGGGTTCAATTTTTATCACGTGCATCGAATGCATCCCGGCTACCAAGTCGTCTTCGGTTTTTGAGGGCTTAAACCATCCCATCAAGGAAAAGCCACCCTCTTCATTTACAGCATTAACAACTTCACTGACACTTTTTTCAACTGGATCGGGTCGGAAGAAGCCAAGTGGGGTTTGATCGCAGCAGCATCAGCGACGAAAATGGATAACACGGACCGGAAGTGGAATGAAACCTGGCAATCCTGACTATGAACGTCCTGAATTTCCTCACATTCCACTCGCCCTGACAGTCAATTTCTGCTATTTCCGTATTTCTCCACCTAAACACATTTTTTTTCATCATCGCCACCTGTGGGGAAACCGTCACAGAGGTAACCCGAACAAACACGAGGCTGCAGAGCTTTGCTTTTTAGCGCCAAAATCTTGGTCTTAAGAGCAAACCACTTCATATTGATGGTGTTGTCCAGATCGTAAGGAGGCTTAACTGTGTATGTAAACCTATGGGTGTTGTCGGGGATGAAGGGCTCGTCAGTGGTGAGGAGAAAATTATTCTCCTCGTACAGCCTTCCTTTGACGTCAACGTTCATGAGCCACAATGGGGATCCGGGCGTAATGTGCTGGAAGTATCTGGTGGCAATTCTTGTTTTCACAGGCGTTTCCGCAATCATACATACGACGTCGCTGTCGCCTGGAATCCCGATTTTGAGGAACATATCGTAGGTTTTTTGCAAGCCCATTCTTACTTTGCTGGATGAACTGGGCCGCGATCAGTTCTTTGGTTTTTTTAGGCTACGTTTTTTCAAATTGTACGTAGGCGCAAATCTGGCAGCATAATCGGTTTTTTTTTCAGAAATGAATTATTGAAAAATTACTCTATTTTTCTTATTAGATCATCAATAATCTAATGAACGAGAAAGAAATATTCAATTATGTAATATGTATGAAATCAAAGGCACTAAATAAAAGGACATTTGGCTAAATGCAATCTATGTAAGTTGAAAGGATGGTAAAATTTTATGTAACTTTCTTTTAAATCAGGTCGAAATCAACAGTGCGCGTGAGAATGCCTGGAAGTACCAAATAATCCGAGGCTACCTGGCAGTATTTAAGCCTGACTCGCACCAGGTCCAAGGGGGCAACGCGTCATCGGGCGGGGGCAACGCAGCCGAAGCAAGTGGGGCGTCTCCAGGGAACCAGCAACTGGCTATGGAGACTGCTGTATCAAATGGGATTTCATTGGCAATCAAAGAGTGGAATCGACTTCCGAAAGTGGTGTCCCTGGCACATATCCCACTTTTGCAAGTAATCACAATATTGAATTTGTTTGATTTTGCTTAGCAGTTATTGGGTTACTGATTTTTTGTAAGGCATGTTCATTAAAATGCATCAAAGGCTGAATCGCATGAACTTTTATGGAAGCATCTTTGGTGTGATGAAAGAGCAGCTTTGAAAAGTTTGAAGAAACCATTGCTCTGAAGCTAAATATTTGCCATTTTTTCGCTGAAATCAGCAAATGGGATGTTGAACATCAAATTTGTTTCCAGCGTGAAATTCTAGCTTTGTGGTTGCTTTCAGGGAAGTCACCAACTGGTCGAGGTCACAGAAGCCCACCAGATCCAAGTGGGCATAACACAGCAGTCCATCAATCGATCCTCTTCTCTACAAGACATGAAGTCGGTGGTTAAAGCGTGGAAGAACAGACTGGCGACCACAAGTGACGATCTGAGCTGCTGGAGTGACCTATTCCTGTGGAGACATCACAGCTACTCGGCTATCATAAATGCATTTGAAGTGCAACAGCCACAGCTCTCGCCCTTCGGACAGACTTCGCCAGTGGGAACGCAGAACGAACCGGTGAGCATTAAGTATCTGATACCAAAGGAGCTCTTAGAACCTAACTTTTTAATTTATCGGTGGTGTCAAGTTTTAATCGGTGGTGTAAGACAACAATTAAAAAATGTTTTTCTAAAAGATGTTTTTGGGCAATGCATATATAAACAACTGAAATTTTTTTTGATGAACGAATGAAAGTTTATTTGAATCGGAAAGAAATGATTTTAATTCGCAATCTCTAAAACCTCTGTTAGGTATAAGTAATTCTAAATGTTAAGTATTCCCGTTGTAAAGATTGTTGTTTAGGAGTTGGTGAACGTAATTCAGTCTCTTATAAAGGTCAAGATAATTTTTTGTTCCGTTTTTTTTTAAATGGAAAAGTCTCAAAGTTTGTTGAGGCTCAATTTTTTTTGCGGTTTGACTCTTGATTTCTTTTTAAGTTCAGTTCATTTCCTTTGTAAGAATGAAGGCAAATGCAACTATCGATCAGCAAAAGTTTATAGTCACTAAAAAGCGATCGACTTCTATCTTCGAAATTGGAATTGTGTTTTCTGATTTCCCTTCGGAATTTTTTTTTTCAATATTCTCAATTTGGGCTAATTTAATCAAAAACCGCCGGTCATAAATTTTCTGAAATTCAACGTGCTTTAAGAGCTTTGTTTTTTTCGTTTAAAATATATTTTTTTAATTATATTTTTTCTCTTGCGTTCGTTGCCTCTTTTCCAACTGTCTATTGGCTATGTTTGATATATTTGAAACAAATTTGATTGAAAAAATTGTATTTGACTTTGCTTGCTCATGATTAAAAATAAGCATATTAACACAAGGAAAGACTGTGTGATGGTATGAATTCTCTTTTTTTCCAACCTAAGTCGCAAATATTAGTGTTCATTTTGATCAATTACCAGCTATTAAGTACAGCCATTGCTAAGTATATGACCACGGACTATTTTTTTTACAAATAGTAGCATTTTAGCTTCAAGGTATCATGGATCTGTAGCGTAGAGGTAGGGAAGAAGACCAGCAGCAAAATAGGAGGGATCGAACCTGGGCCGGATGAACTTTTTAGAGGAGGGTCGGATGTTTTTATGAACTTTTTCGGACTAGTTAAAATGCGTCCGGTCTATAAATTGAGGCATATTAGTTGGTAAATTTCTTTATAAGAGTAATGAACGTAGTAAAGATTCTTATATAGGTCTTGCTGATTTTTCGTTATGTTTTTTTTTTTCAGGAAAAGTCTAAAAATCTATAATAACTACAGATGTGCATTCATACATATTAATGCATTTATGAATGCACTTAGGTATATATGCACTTTTTGAGTTCAATTGAAATGCATCTGCTAAAAGTGACTTAAATAGGACTGTCCAAATGCGAACGTGGAAATGAAGCAAAAAGTCGTGAACGATTTCTAGTTTCGAAAGTGGAATTTAATTTTTAGATTTACTGCGGAATAAAAACTTTACCTGTTGATGCAATTTTCTCGAGTTGGGTTAATGTTATCGAAAATGCGCCAATCATAAATCGTTCTAGAAATTAAAAGAGCTTAAAAGGAAACTATTTTTTTCTGTGAAATTCGAAAGTTGAGATTTTTTCTACAAAGTCAGTGTTTTTCTTATGTTTACTTGCGTTCATTACTCTTTTCCAATCTTCGATTAGCTATGTTCGGCTTCATGATTGCATACGCTACTTATTTAGCTATTGTGGATCCTATTTGGGCGTTACATGGATTTTTTTGCTCTGATGTTTTTTCTAACAAGTTGAAAATTATCTAATAATCATAGCAGATTTTTAAGTTTAGATTTTCAAGGCGATTTCTGATCTTAAGGTTGGAAAAAATAGTCATTTTTTCTATTTAGTTGAGTTCCTTAACAAGTTTTTAACATATCGTAAAGTGTATTTTTTTCCATGGTAAGAAAACATCGAATAGTGCGGAATTGGAGACTAGTTTTTCAAAAATTGGTTTTCATTTTTTTTGCATCCTTTGAGTTCATAAACGCTTTATTTTTATCTATACTCAATGTAATAATGGCTTACTAAATTCAAAATCATCAACCGAATGAATTTTCACAATAAGGAGTGCACTATAAAAATGTGTTATCATCAAGTATTCACAAATTAGAGAAATGTTATAAAAAAAATGGCAAACAACTTTTGATATGATCAAAATATATTTTAATGATTTTTTAAGAGAAAGATGAAAGTCCACTTTTTGGGAGTTTGATGCTTCTTTTTTAAATTGCGTTGGCGTGTTGTTGCTACTTTTTTGATCGGTGTTTCGTTTTACAACATTTGTCAAGTTGGTTTTCGATTTGAGTTCTTGTGCGCGTACGTTTTTATGTACGTCAATTTTCAAAGCTCTCAACTGATCATTCCAGATTGTGGCAACCTAATTAGCCCCATGTTTTCCTAGTAGCCGCAATTGATGTATTTCAGTACTTGATCTTCCGACCATTTAAAAAATGGGGAGGAACTTTGTATTCGGGTGTTTTAGTTTTTTCTTTTTTTTTGTTTTCCACGCATATCAGCTACCACAAATAATCATCGAGAGAGTTGAGTGATATATCATATTGAAGCATGTCGTACTTTCGTGATTCGTACAACATCAAAAAACTTTTCCCAGCTTCGAGAAAAATCAGTTCGAAATTTTTGGTTTTTCGTCTGAATGCGAGCGAGCAGGCTTACAATGGCTTATTTTAATGGTTTGGAAGCTAAGAATAGCCTAATTTAAAACGTAAAAAAAAATAGTTTAACTCGAGTAAAGTTAGTTATTTTTATTATTTTAGCGGCTTTGGAATATTAAATTTAGTTTCGAAAAACTGCAAAAAAAAATATTTTATTTGTTTTTTTTGATCTTTTTGATTCGAATTTTTAAAATTTTTTTTCGTTTTTCAGTAAATTTCTACTTAACTGCTATAATTGTCGAGTATGGCTAATCTTTAATTTTTCGTTTAGATCCTTTTATCACATCACGCCGAAAAAACGTCACTAATTTGTAAAAAGTTTCTTTATATTTTGTAAGACTATGGTCGGAGCATTCTGGACTACTAGCACGGTAACCGGCTATCCTTGTTACTATTAGAAATGGATTTCTTGCATGTAATTTTCCTCTATTTGCTTATTTTTTGTCACCTAATTAATTATTTGCAATTTTTTTTTATTGTGTTTGCGAAGTGTAGCTTTTCTGTTATTTTTTTTTTCGATCACCAATGGCGCGAAACTGCAAGATTCTGTTGCTCTTTTTTTCCACGAAAACTCATTTACCACAATTTAACGTCGGATTTGTGAACAATGACTTCTTAGTATCTAGAGGAGTGCATTTTCCTGAAAACTTGTGTGCAATGCAAAAAGATCAACCGTGTTTTCTCAAACCTACAAACACCTTCCCTTCTAAAATTGTATTGTAGGGTGAATCATGGCCAAATGGTTTAGGAAATTGTACCTGTATCGAATTTTTGAAAGCTTTTCTTCACGCGACTACCTGCAGTCCGCTATCCTAGCCTGCGCAGAAACCAGCTATTCTTTGTTTCTTTTAGACCCAGAACCCCTATGCCATGCAGGGTGTACACGCACAGGCTCAAGCCATCATCGCGTTCGGACAGATTGCCAGGAAACAGGGTCTATACTCTGTCTGTCTCGAATCTCTTGCACGGTAAGTTGAAGTTGTTTTGTAAAACGAAAAAAATGGATGTTTTTATTTCGAAATGGTATCTTTCTTTTTGACCCCTTGAAATTTAAATTTGAAGATTGAATGATTCTTAAATGTTTTTTTTTGTAAATTTATGTCTTTTTTGTATTGCATCATGGAATCCTTTTCGGTGAAAATAATTTGAGCAGTTGTTAAAACTGTACGATGTTTTTTTTATTTCAGCATCCACGCAATAGCAAGTGTGCCAATTGTTGACTGCTATCAGAAAATACTTCAACAAATAAAGTGCTATTTGAAACTCTCCGAGGGCACGGAAACGTCTGAGCTGAGAAAAGGTCTAGACGTCATAGACCAGACGAACTTGAAGTACTTCAACCCTGAGATGATTTCGGACTTCTACGCTCTCAAAGGCATGTTTCTCAATCTACTGGGCGAGTCAGAAGAGGCGAACCGGTCTTTCAGTGCAGCAGTTCAGTTCAACGACAACTCAATCAAGTCTTGGTGTTACTGGGGCGACTACTTCAGAACCGTTTTCTTGTCCTCAAAGTAAGCAGCCGAAATTAGTGAGCTAGTTAAGAAAATGGGAATATGATTCAGTGCAAATCACAGTCAATAATTTCATCACCAATTCCTTGTATAGATAACGAGAGTTGAAAGTTATACTTGCTTATTAAAACCGAGCGTGTGACTAAAAAAGGCCGAGAACATGTAACCTTGTTGAGTATATAAAGGTGCGTAAGGAAGTCATTACAATTTCATCTTAACCTGAAATGTTACAATTTAGGGATACGGAGTTTGCAAAGTCAGCTATATTGTGCTACCTACATTCATGCAGACATCAGAAAGAGAACAAAAGTAGAGTCAATATGGCTAAGACTCTCTCATTTCTCCCTCACGATGACGAGTCAAATCAGATAGCAGAAGCTATCGAAAAGTGTTCTCCCGGAGTACCTACTGTGCATTGGAACCACTGGATTCCACAGATCTGCACTAGTCTGTTGAGAAAAGAAGGAAGCCACATGATTAATATTCTGCTCAACGTTGCTAAAGTCTACCCGCAATCAGTCTATTTTCCTATTAGGACTATATACACGTACCTGAAGACACGGATACAACAAGAACATAGCTCGCATTTTGAGGAGGTTTCAAGTCCGGTGAAGGAACCAATGAGTAACGAACCATCATCTGTCAAAGCGGTGGACTCGGTTGAAAATATGGACACTAACCAGCAATCAATCAAAACACCGCAAACGCCAATGGATGTTCAGACAGCCTCGAGCTCAAATACAGTCAATGAATCATCAGAAATAGAAATGACATCTCACAACAAAACAGCAGACTCCGATCAATCAGAGCAGCCTAGTGTTCAAACTCACGCGATGAGCGGAGTCGCTAATTCTCCATCTAGGCCTCCGAGTGTTTCGTCTAATTCATCTGCTGTACGAAATTCGGCTTTGAGTGCTTCCTATTCGAAGTATAAAGTTCCGCTCAGGTTCTGCACCAAGGTGATTTTCGCGCAAAGAGATGCCCATCCGACTTTGCTGGCAGCGCTGGAGAGCATCGCTGATCAGGTTAATTGAATATGTTATGAAATTAATTGTTAATTGATAATTATTTGTATTAACTTCCTCTTATTAAGAGTCGATGAATGTCGTTTCTTTCCCTTTAATAACTTTGTAAACAGGACTATTTTCCTCTGGACTCATTTCCTGAACGCTTTTGTTGGACAATAAATTTAGCGCTACATATATTTTTTGTGCGTGCTAGCGTTTAAATTTTTTTATATTGGAAATTATCTTTGTTGGTTGCAGGGGCGGATCTAGGATTTTCTCGAGGGCGTCCGCTCCCCCCCCCCTAAATCCGATCCTGGTCGGTTGTAATTTTCCTAGCTCACTTTGTTAAAACTTCAATTTTTTTAGTTTTTGTATTCTCGTTTATGGGTTTGTATTTTCCTCATTATGGGTTTGATAGGTTTTGGTATTATATCGACTTAATGCATTTATCTTATTTTATACGTTTGACTAGCAAAAGAGGTTTTTTGTGTGTGTGTATGTACTTTGATTGTGAGGTGGACTTAACATTTTATTCCTTACCTTTTTTGCCTTTTTTCTTTTTTTATTGGCTTAATAGCTTTCGGCCTATATTATATCGGCTTAGTGACCTCCTAATATGTCGTTTGACGAACTGTATGTATGTTTTAAATGTGAGAGGGACTTAATAACTTTTTATTCGTCTTAACGTTTTTTGGCTTTTTTCTTTTTTTATTGGCTTAATAGCTTTCGGCCTATATTATATCGACTTAGTGACCTCCTAATATGTCGTTTGACGAACTGTATGTATGTTTTAAATGTGAGGGGGACTTAATAACTTTTTATTCGTCTTAACTTTTTTGGCTTTTTTCTTTTTTTATTGGCTTAATAGCTTTCGGCCTATATTATATCGGCTTAGTGACCTCCTAATATGTCGTTTGACGAACTGTATGTATGTTTTAAATGTGAGGGGTACTTATTAACTTTTTATTAGTCTTTCATTTTTTGACTTTGTTTCGGCTTGTTTTTTGTTTTCTGTTTTTTTTTCGGTTTGTTTCGGCCAATATTAGATCGGTTTAGTGGTTTCATATTGTTTGATTTGACGTGCGAATAAAGTTTTTGTGTTTGTATGTAATTCAGGGCGAGGGGGACTAAATATTTGTTTTTGAATGTTCGGCTTTGTTACCGCTTGATAATTTTTTTGATGCTTATTTTACATTCTATTGTCTTGGTAAGTTTCTAGCTTAACGTTTTCATTTTTCTGGTTTAACGATAGATCCAGTTTTGAACATATATACAGTTCAACTTGACGTTTTCGAAGTTTTTTGATTTTTTTCCGACTTGGTGGATTTCTTGTTTCAAATCCCAAGTGGTGCGGAGCTCAGCTTCGCCTCTGTGTTTTAAGTTGAGTTCATTTCCTTTGAAAGAAGGTAAACTGCACTATTGCACAGCAAAACTGTAGTGTCGCTGTAAAACTTGATTTCCCAGCGGAATAAAAACTTTACCTATCGATTCAATTTTGAATCAAACTGGGTTCATTTTAACAAAAATTTCTCTCATTATTTTTTGAAATTCATTGTCTTTTTTCGAATTGTTCTTTCGTTTAGTTTTTATGTTTCCTACTTTTCATTGACTCTTTTTCATTTATCTGTTGGCTATGTTTTAGATGGCTTGGTTTTTTAGAATTCTCAGCAGACCGAAAAAGTTTGCCTTTTTTTGACAGCTCTCGAAAGGATTTAACTTAACAATTTTATGTGCAAAATAAAATTGTCAATATCGTCAGATTTAATGCTATTGTTGTTGAAGTGACTGCAAATAAATCATGCTATGTGGTTTAGGTTCAGACTCTTCCCAGGCCATGGTTTGAACCGGTGATGGAGAAACTAAACGAACTTCTCAAGGAGCAGTTAGACATTGCCTTCCAAAATTCAGCTGCTGGTAATTTAAGTACAGTTATTGAGAAGGGACATATAAGAGTGTCATTGCTGACTCTAGTTAATTAGTGGATCAATTTTTTTTGACAGCTCGAAACTATTATTATGTTGTCAGGATATTTGCCCCTGAACAAATGGCCTCATGCCAACTTGTCCGATACTAATTTGCCCTACAGGGCAAATTAACCTATGCCAACTTGCCCTATATGACATTTTGCCTTACGCCGCTTTGCCTCATCACACTTTTATTCGATTCTTTGATGTTCAAATTGGGGACCTGCGAGTACTAATGTAGACAGACTCAACTGGTTTTTAGATAATCTAATTGAAAATGATATAAGCTGAACGTCCTGAGCGACACATAAAGAGCCCTTGAAACAGAATGAAACAATGGTATCCTCCCATTTTGCGTCACAGTTTACCATTTCATTCGTAAACATCCAACATGAATACTTGATTCAAATTACGAATGCTCATTTTTGACCCTTACGATTTCACAAAAAAGCAAACAACAAAAACTACTGAGCACTGGAGATGTGATTATAGTTCACACAAATGCCACAACGGTTGTCACAGCAATGATGAACTGATATCAACCAAAAATGAGCACAGCCACGATTTTAGACCTGAAAAAATTGAGGCAAACCAGATCATGCATCAGATGAAAAAGGCCACGCACCAAATTGTACCTATCAATAAATGTATAATTGCGACTTGTCTCCAGGAAGTAACAGATGAAAAAGCAGTACAATCAATGTTCTTTGCCCAGTCGTGCAGAAAAAACTGAACCGCCAGAGACAGAATTTGGTCCCATCCTTGCCAATCATTAAAGACAGGCCTTTTTTAATTCCAACGGAATATACTGATTTCTGTTTATTCGACAGTGAGTAATGAATCCTGAACGTATTTTAGTTTTTCGTGACAGGGATAATGTTATTGTCCTTCGATATGACTATTGTTTTTGGCTTTGCGAGGGTTCATTCAAAATTTGCCCGATGCAACTTAACTAGCTTTATACTATACTTATTCATTTTAGTGCATTTTACTCAGCTTGCATTTATGCTCGAATCGCGAACAAAACAGAACAGTCATATTCAACATTCCTCAAAGCCACCTTTTTAATCATTAAGCCAACATTATGTTCGGTGAGGATATCAAAGAATCGGTCAATGTTTTATTTCTAAAATACCTGGTCTGGGGCAAGTTGACTTGGGGCGAAGTTACATGTAACCAAAATTATCATAACTAAGTGCAATGGAAGAAAACATAATTTGATATTTCAGAAACCTCAGTTCTAATCAATTCTTTTTCTTATTTGTTTTGCAGGTACAAAGAACTAACGATTGACTTGAAAATTGATGAGAAAAAATAGATTGAATGGTTATATTGTTGGTTTTTGAGCCTGAAAACTGCAACGGATTGGTCTGTTTAGTATCGAGAACACCTCTGTCACTTAGTACTGTGGCTTCAATCAACAACATTTTGTCTCTCTTCAATGAAGATGAGGATGATACTTCTTCGTCAAATTACACGCAGCCGCCAATACATCAGGAATTCTTTCTCCAATACAAACATCTAGATCCACAATTCATAGATTTGAGAGATCTCATTACGAAGGATTTTGATTTCAGGTTACTGCAGTTTAAATGATATTTTTACTCTGTTTGAAGTACTGGAACTGCAAAAGCTTTAGTAGTGGCATGAAAGATGGTAAAATTTTTAGAGTTTGCGAAATCTTTTATTTGTTTGATAACGTCAAAAATGAAAGCTGGTGTTCTTACAATTTGTTGTTCCGACCACTTAAACCCTTGCAATCGTTATTCGAATCATAATGAAAAACTTTAAGAGTACAGAAAAAATTACTTGAATTTTGTGATTTTAAGAGTCGATGAGCGTAGTTCAGACTCCTATATAGTTCGCGATTATTTTTTTTCGTTTTTTGAGAAAAGTCTTAAAGATTGTTCAGGCTCAAATTTACTTTTTTTGCTGTTTGATTTTTAATTAAGTGCAGTTCATTTTACTTTGTTAAAAGGAAGGCAAACCTTTATTGAACAGCAAAAGTGTAAAGGTCACGAAAAACGTGATCGACTTCTAGTTCGGAAAGTGGATTAAAATTTCAGACTTCCAGCCAGGGGCGGATTTTTCTCGAGGGTGGTGGGAGGAATTTCTCGAAAATTTTGTCGACCTTTTTTTGGTCCATCAAATTGGTTTTTTGAGCTCTCCCAAAGCACTCAAAAGATTGTGTCTTGGCCAAATTTTTTGCGCAGTAGCAAAAATTTTTGAAAAAATGGGCCAAAAAAGGCATTTTTTGAAAAATTTTGACCAAAACCTGCGTTTTTTTTGGCGCGCTCTTCACCTCAAAATTAGTATATATTGGCGCCAAAGGCTTCTTAATAAAGTTTTTAGGGGCCGTCAGCCAAAAATGAATATCTCAAAATAGTAAAAAGGGGGACCCTTGGGGTCGGCAGTGGGTCGAATCCCTGAGGGAAGAGGGCGTCCCCACCCCTAAATCCACCCCTGCTTCCCGGCGAAATAATTTTTTTATTGGTTCAGTTGTCTCAATAAGTTCAGTTGTTGGGTAAATTTATCAAAAAATGTCAGTTATAAATTTTTCTCGAATTTCAGAGTTTTAAGGGCATCTATTTTTTTCTTGTGCGAGCTATTGTTTTTTCTTGTGAAATAAACAAATCAGTATTTTTTGACTCGTTCATTGGCTCTTTTCCAACTGTCTGTTGGCTTTGTTTGTTGAAAATTTTGAGCAAATAAAGCGAGCGAGCAGGTCTATAATTCGGAAATTAGGCATAAAAATTTCATATAACTTCAAAACTCTAAATTTTTCAAGCGTTTTTCTGCACATTCTTGACAAAAATCCTAAAAACAAAAAAAATGTTTTGATTTTCTAAAAGAAATCTTTTGATGAGTTTTTTGGTAAACGTTGTTGTCAAATATGGGGTTTTTACTTTAACCATTGAATGTAACATTTTGCTAGGCTTTCGTTCAGATCCGCTCATTGCCGAACGAGGGAATGTAGTGAGTACTCTTTTATAGGTCTTAGTGATTTTTTCTAAGATTTGTGAACGTAATGAGTACTATTATATAGGTCTCGATGTTTTTGTAAGGAAAATATTTTAAAGTTAGTTCACGTTCAGTTAAGATTTTTCTTGTTTTTACTGTTGATTTTTTTTAAAGTTCACCTCATTTCTTTTGTTAAAAGGAAGGCAAACTCCACTGTTTGACACAAAAAATGGTAAAGGGTACGAAAAACGTGATCAGCTTCTACTTTCCAAAATTTAATTTAATTAGCAGCTCACCCAGTGAAAAAAACTCACCTATTAATCTAGTTTTCACAAATTGGGTAATTTTTTTATCAAAAAAGGGTCGAACATAAATTGTTCGTGAAATTAAGAGAGCTTCAAGGGCATATATTTTTTATTTAAAGTTAGCTAGTTGATGTTTTATCAAAAACAAGTCAGTTTTTTTCCTGTTTCTTTGCGTTCATTACTCGTTCATTCCTTGCGTCAGATCTTTTTTTGTTGTTGTTGTCGGAACTTTCTTTGCTACTTGCACAGCAACCGGCTATCCGTTTTTGTATTTGATTTAGACACGCAAAGACTTCAAGTGATGTAAAATTTTTCAAAACTCGTTAAAAGTTGTTCCACTCGAAAATCATTAGTAGCTCGTACCAATGCCTTAAACTATATTTTTCAGCGACCCCCATAGTGCGAGACTGCTTTCCCTGATTAACAAACTCCGAAAATGGATCGCAATCTTCGAGACTAAAGTCAGAAGGAACTGCAGTTCGAACTCGTTCCTCATGGGCAGAAAGTGCAGATTTCTCAACAACTTCTCGGTCGAAACGGCCGAAGTGGAAGTGCCTGCTGATTTCTACACTACAAAGGTAAACTTATGTGTTTGATATTGATGTAGGCTTAGGTTTGATTTCTCAAAATGCTAATAAAACGGGTTCGATGTTTTTTTAAAGTCAAGAGTTGTTGGGCTGTGAGTTCCTGTCTAATAAAAAAAGGTATTATGAAAAAATTATTGGGATCGCATTTTTCAATTTTTTTTGAGACGCTTTGAAAAATTTTTTCTCATTTTTCATAAGTGGTACTGATTTATCAAAAAGTGGTACCAATGAAAATTCCGCGCACTCCCCTGTGTGCGTGCATAATCCCCTAGTCTCTTTTTTACCTTACCCCCACTTTCTACAGCCTTCGAAAGATTGTATGGGGGGATTTTTTGACCCATATTTTTGGAATTTTCACTTTTTGTCAAAAACTACCCTCAGAAATCGGAAATTTGGATTTCAATGGATACAACAGGTTGTGGAAAGCTCCCCTGCATCAGCGGCTACGCCCATTTTTTTTAACATAAAAAGCTATGACCCTCGGAAAAGTCAAATTTTCGAATTTTTGACTTTTTTGAAATTTTTTCACTTTTCTCAAAAACCACCCTCCCGAATTTGAGATATTGGTTTCATTGTGTAGAACGGTTGTTGGAAGCTTTGCTGTATAAGCGGTTACGCCTAAAGTTTTTTTAAAACAACAAGTTATGATCCTCGGAAAAGTCAAAGTTTTGACTTTTCTCGAAAACTACCCTCCCAAATCTGAGTATTGGTTTCAATGGGAAGCTCCCCTGCGTAATCAGTTACGCCCATTTCTTACACCAAAAGTTACGACCATCGGAAAAGTCAAGGTTTGATTTCTTGTTCGTTTTTTGAAACTTTTTGACTTCTCAAAAACAACTCAATCTGATATCAAGGGTTTAGTCGAGGCAACAGGTTGTGAGAAGCCTCCGTGCATAAGATGGACATGGAGGAAAAATTGAGGGTAAAATAAGGTGTTATGAAAAAGCATGGGACTAGAACAAGGGAACAGCCTTGGGGGTGGTGTTTGCTTGAAACTTCAACGACGAAAACAGAGGTGAAAACCATTTAGTGCTCACTAGACTTTCTGTTCTGATGTGAAATTCTGTGATTGTGAATATATTGTGCACAATTCTTCGTTTTTTCAGAAACTCGTTTTGTTTGCGCACAACAAGAAAAACCTCAATGGTTGCAAAATCAGGCTAGCTGGGTTTTAAATTACTTTATTTTTTTTTTCAGGAGGGTGGGGCGGATTTTCAAAACATTTTCGAAGAATTTGTCGACCTTTTTTATTTTTGGTCGACCAAATTGATTTTTCCGGCATTCCCAGGATGCTATAAAGACACAACTTTGACTAAATTTTTTGGGCCCGTTTTGGCTTTTTTTTGGAAAATTGAGACTAAAAAATTGCAATAAGGAAATATTGGCGCCAAAATTTAAGGGTTGGTCGGCCGAAAATGAATATCATAAACTAATACCCAAGGGGGACCCCTTGGTTCTTTCGTTAGTGAGGGGGTCGTCCATTCCTGCTGCCCCCCCCTTAAATCCGCCCCTGGCTACAATCCTATTTGTTACAGCTGCTTCAATTTCATTGTCTGTTTTACTTGTGATTTTCCTTCAGATACTGCATATCATCAGTTTTGATATTTAGAATACGAGCTACTCCCTGAAAGTGTCTCGCTTTCTACCCCGAGTGGAGGTCAAATTAATAAACAGACAGATCATCAGGCGCATTTTCATCAGGGCGTCCAACGGAAAGGTAACCAACTTTCTCTACACGAAAAGTGTTTTCCAGTTTGATTTTTGAATAGATATTTATTTACGTAAGGGGAATTTGCGTAATTTACATTAAATAAAATTTAACTTAAAAAAAGTTTACTTCCTTTGTGTTTTGACGATTTAGAGATTAATATAGTTATCGTTTTCTTAGCGGAATTAAATGTAATAATGTTGTGTAATTGACAGGTGTTTGGCTATCGAGTATTGTTTTCCGAGGACTCCAACAAGCAGTCTTCGTTTGGCTACACAGACGAGAGAATAGCCCAGCTGATGCGACTGATGCAGAGCTATTTTCTGGACAAGAGGAAAGAGACTGCGAGACGGCTGCTCTGTGTGACCCCTCCCGCATTCACCACTTTCGCTCCTAACTTGAGACTTTATATGGACGACTGTTCTTCGAAGAGCCTATTTGATATTTACAGACAGGTCAGAGTCATTTCGGAATGTTCACCTGGGGGGGGGGGGGGGGGTTTCCTGAACGATGAGAGAATCAGAAAAAGAATTGAGATGAGATGAATTTGTGTGAACTGACTAAATCTTACAACAATTTGAACTGATTGAATTCCGTTGTTTGGTTAAGTAAAATTCCCAAAAACCTATGATTGTCTGCCATGCGATTGAATCATGGTTGAGGGATTTATAAAAAGCATGGAATCTGTAGGAAACATTTAGTCAACAAAACTTTTGACTGTAACAGAATCCATTCTACTGCGTTTTTGGTCTTCTGAAAACATTGCAGGACCCATTTTTCATACTTGCTTTTTCAAGAGACCGACCATTAATTTTTTTTCGTAGTTTTCTGAAGACTCTTGTATAGTTTCTGGTGTTTATTTATTTATTTTTTCAGTACTGCGTTTTTGGTCTTCTGAAAACATTGCAGGACCCATTTTTCATACTTGCTTTTTCATGAGACCGACCATCAATTTTTTTTTGTAGTTTTCTGAAGACTCTTGTATAGTTTCTGGTGTTTATTTATTTATTTTTCAGTACCGCTTTTTTGGTCTTCTGAAAACATTGCAGGACCCATTTTTCATACTTGCTTTTTCAAGAGACCGACCATCTATTTTTTTCGTAGTTTTCTGAAGACTCTTGTATAGTTTCTGGTGTTTATTTATTTATTTTTTCAGTACTGCGTTTTTGGTCTTCTGAAAACATTGCAGGACCCATTTTTCATACTTGCTTTTTCATGAGACCGACCATCAATTTTTTTTCGTAGTTTTCTGAAGACTCTTGTATAGTTTCTGGTGTTTATTTATTTATTTTTTCAGTACTGCGTTTTTGGTCTTCTGAAAACATTGCAGGACCCATTTTTCATACTTGCTTTTTCATGAGACCGACCATCAATTTTTTTTCGTAGTTTTCTGAAGACTCTTGTATAGTTTCTGGTGTTTATTTATTTATTTTTTCAGTACTGCGTTTTTGGTCTTCTGAAAACATTGCAGGACCCATTTTTCATACTTGCTTTTTCATGAGACCGACCATCAATTTTTTTTTGTAGTTTTCTGAAGACTCTTGTATAGTTTCTGGTGTTTATTTATTTATTTTTTCAGTACTGCGTTTTTGGTCTTCTGAAAACATTGCAGGACCCATTTTTCATACTTGCTTTTTCATGAGACCGACCATCAATTTTTTTTCGTAGTTTTCTGAAGACTCTTGTATATTTTCTGGTGTTTATTTATTTTTTTTTCAGTACCGCTTTTTTGGTCTTCTGAAAAAAAATTGCAGGACCCATTTTTCATACTTGCTTTTTCAAGAGACCGACCATCTATTTTTTTCGTAGTTTTCTGAAGACTCTTGTATAGTTTTTGGTGTTAATTTTTTTTGAGGCAATGATCTGATAACTACAGAAGTTTAATCATACATATTAATGCATTTTTTGTTGCATTTAGATGTATGTGCACTTTTTGAGTTCAATTCAAGTTCATTTGGTAGAAGGTAGTTGAAATGCTTTCTCCATTGTCAAAAATATGTCGATTATATTTTTCTGAAACTCAAAGAGCTTTTATTAAGGCCATATGTTTTTAAGAGTAATGAACGTAGTGAGTACTCTTATATAGGTCTTGCTATTTTTTTTCAGGAAAAAGTCTTGAAATTTGTTCACGCTCAATTTGGATTTTTCGCGGTTTGACTTGTGATTTCTTTTTAAGTTCAGTGCATTTCTATTGTTAAAAAGAAAGCAAACTCCAATATCGAACAGGAAAAGTGTAAAGGTCAGGAAAAACGTGATCGACTTCTGATTTCGAAAATGGAAATTAATTATCAGATTTCCCAGCGAAATAAAAGTTCTAGGTATTGAAAAAGTTTTCTCAAGCTGGGTTAATTTTAACAAAAAAATGTCCTTCACAAATTGTTATACAAATCCAAAGAGCTTTAAGGCCATCTATTTTTTTTCGAAATTCAAAAATTGAAGATTTTTGAAAAACAAGTGTTTTTTTTTCAGTTTCCTTGCGTTCATTACTCTTTTCAGACTGTCAGTTGGCTAGGTTTTTCTTTGAAATTTTTTGTCGAATTTTTTTTCATAGAGTCAATACAAGTGAAAAACAAGTCAATACTTTTTTTGTTTCCTTACATTCATTGACTATTTTCCAACTGTCTGTTGGATATGTTTTTAAAGTAAGATCAAATATCTTCTGCTCAATATTGGCTGCAAATAAGACTTTCCGACTATTCCAGGCACAGTTGAGTAAGGGCATGGATCCGCACAGTCCAATTAAGGCATACTTTGAACAGATGTTCCATAGAGGACTGGCAAACAGCAGCAGTGCAGATGCCCACCTGGCCAAAGTGTTTTCTGGCATCCAGAGCAACCTCGTGCCAAAATCGAGACTGAGAGAGTGGGCAATTACCACTTATGAGGATCCAACTGATTACTTCACCTTTAGAAAACATGTAAGTAGAAATAATACTTTCTGCTCCTACGAAATATTTAGTGTAATGAAAACTACTGCGAATTCAAAATTGCGAATTTCAGCAGAAATAGAATTATTGTGAGAAAATGTCGTCCCTGCAATATGTCGCCTCTAATTGGCGTTCATGTGGGCCAAATTAATTTCAAATTATCGCAAACAGTTTGGGTATCGAAGGTTTATTTTCAGTTCATCGGGCATTTATCAGTGCAATCAGTGTTGCAATACATTCTCAGTCTTATTCCTCCCGACTTGCAGTCGATGGAGATCACGAGGAAGACTGGGTTTCTAATCCCAACTGCTGTGACCTTCCGCAACCATTCTCCCACCTCCGCCCACACTCCACCTGACCTATGTTTGCGGTTAACACCGAACGTGGTTGACCTGATGGGACCCTTGGGGCTGACTGGATCCTTCTTCCAGAACTTTCTAGCAGTTTGTTTCTCACTCGTGGATCCACATTGTAAATTTGAGGCTTTTCTGGCAGCTATTCTACAGGATGTGTTGGTGTTGGAAGATAGAAATCTTTTGGTGAGTTTTTCATCTTGAGTATTTCTTAAAAGTAGTTCGAAATAGTGTTTTTAATGAGATCAGCTTTTACAGAAGTTCAAAATCCCAATAAAATGTTTAAAATGCTGATGAATCTTTTTTTTTTGAATATTTGATGATACAACAAAAACAATCGATAAAATTCAAATCAATTGTTAGCTTTTGAGAAGTTTTTGGCCTTGATAGGTAAATGAATGAGCGGCTCACTCCCAAGTTCATTTTTAGGGCTGGAACGAAAATACACCGAACGAAGTGCTTCTTCAACAACGAGACAGCGCAATTAAAGCGGCTATAGTCAGATTGCATTCAATGGCCGAGTCAGTGCCCGCAGCTCACGTCAATTTGAAAAACTTGATTTTAAAAAACGTTTTCAACTCCGAAGTCGGAAATAATCTCCCCAAATGCAGCCCTATCTGGATTCCTTGGTTCTGAAAAACTTCTAATTATAATCTTATCTTTAATTACAAACTTTGAATTATTGTTGTTATTTGTTAGATTGAAAATTTAGTGTTGACGAATTAGAGTATAAAACAATCAGCATACGCCTAGAAGTAAGCTTCGTAAAAGGTATTTTCTCAAACTTTTTGCTTCTTATTAAATTCAATTTTTTTCTTACTTAAGCCGTTGTTTTTAGGAAACGATTTTTTTATACAAGCCAAGCCTAGTGTCTTAATACGGTATTCACTCAATTTCTTCAGCCGAAGTCGAAAATAAAGGTGTCCATTATTTGCTGGCACTTTTGCACTTTTATATTTGTTTGACTCCATAGCATCATATTTTCGATTTTATGGATTTTAATTAGTTTTTTTGAGAAGCTTTTGACAATTTTTGGACTATTCGCAAAAACATAGATTGATTTATTTTGTCGATTTGTAAAAAAGGGACAACAATAGAGAGACCGCTTCTCACTTGTGTGTCTTGATGATATTCCGGTGGTCTATGTTTACTTCACCAGATATTCTACGACCTTCGAAAATTTCAGTGGAGGGATTTTCGATCCATTTTTTTGGACTCGAAAATTACGTTAATAAATCTTAAAGGGGATTAAAGGTTTATTAAAACGAGCGCGATGTTGCAATTGTTCCAGAATAAGCTGCTACGCCTTTATTTTCGTAGAAAATGAGTTTTGGCCTGAAGTTTCGACCGTTTTTTGGAAGCGTTTTTTCTTTTCTCAAAAACTACCCTGACAATTCTGAGGTTAATTTCTAATCGAATGAAAAAGTTATGCGAATATCCTCTGCACAATAGCCAACCTAATTTTTTGATAAAAGAAATATCACTAAAAATCTACAATTATGTAATTTTGCTCATTTTTTGGAAATTTTTCTTTTTTCGAAACTTACCATGCCAAATCTGAGATGAAAAGGATTAATCAGCAAAAAGTTTGAAGCCATTTATTATCCTCTGCACAATAGCCACCCTAATTTTTTGATGAAAGAAATATCGCTGTAAAACCTACAATTATGTAATTTTGCTCATTTTTTGGAAATTTTTCTTTTTTCGAAACTTACCATGCCAAATCTGAGATGAAAAGGATTAATCAGCAAAAAGTTTGAAGCCATTTATTATCCTCTGCACAATAGCCACCCTAATTTTTTGATGAAAGAATTATCGCTGTAAAACCTACAATTATGTAATTTTGCTCATTTTTTGGAAATTTTTCTTTTTTCGAAACTTACCATGCCAAATCTGAGATGAAAAGGATTAATCAGCAAAAAGTTTGAAGCCATTTATTATCCTCTGCACAATAGCCACCCTAATTTTTTGATGAAAGAAATATCGCTGTAAAACCTACAATTATGTAATTTTGCTCATTTTTTGGAAATTTTTCTTTTTTCGAAACTTACCATGCCAAATCTGAGATGAAAAGGATTAATCAGCAAAAAGTTTGAAGCCATTTATTATCCTCTGCACAATAGCCACCCTAATTTTTTGATGAAAGAAATATCGCTGTAAAACCTACAATTATGTAATTTTGCTCATTTTTCGGAAATTTTTCCTTTTTTCGAAACTTACCATACCAAATCTGAGATGAACAGGAATAATCCGCAAAACAAAAAGAGGAACAGTTCTCATTGCACAAGCAGCTACACCCCAATTTTGTAGAAAATAAGTTTTGAACTTGTAAAAAGTCTTTTATTGAAATCTATACCGTTTTTCAGAGACTTTTCTCGAAAGCTAAACTGCCAAACTATGATTAAGGGTGCAATCAAAATAGTTTCTGCTAGGAAATTTCTCTGTAAAGCGTCTACCTAATTTTTATAGAAATGTTGGATTTTTATTAATTCGGAATTTGTCCATCTCGACAATTACGGTGCCAAACCTGAGACTAGGTTCAATGGAGAGAACAAGCTGTAAGTATATCCCCTGCATGAGCATTTTTCTTTTTCAATTTTGGCGTGGGCTCCGTTATGCACTTTTTGACCCATTTTTGTAGAAACCCAATCTTAAACATTTTGACACACTTTGAGTATAACACATTACCATTCGCGTCAGTACTAGAAAGTAATAAAACTTTTGTAAAAAGGCCATGGCGCAGTTACTAGGACGATTGACTTCAAGTATCTAGGTCGGGTGTTTGATTTAAACAGACAACTACAAGAAGAAAAAGACACTCAAGCTCTCCTTAAAGACGTTCAGTTTTCTGCCATGATTGATATTTTTGTATGACCTTATTTTTGTTTAAACTGGAATTTAAACATTCTGTTTTTTTTTATCACAAGGTTTCCTAGAAAATTGTGACGGCCCCGTTTGTCCTTTTTCGGGATGACTCCGCTAGGTCCCTCTTTTTAGAGTCACGGCGTTGCTCACTCTGAATGATTGTAATGAAGAATATAGGTATTCGGGATGTTTTTTAATCATTTTCAGGAAAAACTCTTGAAATTTGTTCACGCTCAATAATAATTTTTCGCTGCTTGAGTTCTGATTTTTTTTTAGAAGTTTGGTTTTTTATTGTGAAAAGAAAGACAATTTTTACTATCAAACATAAAATATGTTAAAGGTTGATTTCTAGTTTAGAAGGTGGATTTTTTTGACACCTTGATGCAGTTTTCTCGAAATGCAATTTTTTTTTCGGAAGAGCACAAAACTTGAAGTTTCCATGAAAATTAAAAACTTCGAAGCCATTCATTTTCAAAAAATTGAAGTTTTTTCGTTGCGTTTATTACTCTTTTCTGATTTTGATAATTAGGTTGAAAAAAAAACGAGAATGTGGTATCAATTCTTATTTAAATTTAAATTTTTCAGTAAATTTAAAATTTTTTAAAATGTTTACTTCATGAAAGCTATAGAAAGGCATGGTTTTTTCTCGAACACGTGAAGGTTTTAAGTTTAGAACGAAAAAGAACACTTTTTTAGCTTAACTTTAAATTCTATTTTCAAATTCTAAAACTGAAAAGCTTTTAATTGGGGTAAAACTAGAAAATGGTGACATTTTGGCCTTTTTTGTCAAAAATTAAAACATCAAAACGGTTTTTCTTAAAAAGAAAGGAGAACATTTTCTAGAGTCAACCATATGAACGGTTCTTAACCAAACCATCAAAAATAAATGGCATCAAAGATAACTAAAAGGCCAAATATACTGGGATTAGTAGCGGTGTCAAAGGAGTTTCTACTTATGAATCAGCAGTCAACTTAGCCGCCAAGTTAATAACTTTTTCAACTACCGTTATTTTTTGAGTTTCACCTCGATCATCGTGAGTTTCCGGATTAGTAACTTATGTCTCAATAGTTTCCTGGCGTTCATCTTTGTCTTCATTTTCCTGGCCAACAACTCCAACATCTTGAGTGCCCTGACTTTCACCTCCTGCGACTTTAGTTCTCCCGTTTCATGGATTATCAATATATTGTTGGCTCATTTTTTTTCTGTGCTTTCGTTTGGATTGGTTAGAATTGACCCCGGAGCAGCATGTGAACAAAAAGCAGCATGGCAAGCAAAAATAGAATGAGTCATTACCACGTTTTTCAACATTTCTCAAAGATGGACTTAAGCAATGATGAATTCGATGAATGCACGGTAAGTATTTCTAAGAAAGAAATCATTCATTATATTTTGACAACGTGCATGGTTTTTCTCAATTACGAAAATACATAGGGATTAATGTTGTTCTTATAGGAAATATACTTTTTTTTGTGAAAAATTAGCATTGCAGCAGTTAGACCTGTGTCGTTGGATATCAGCGCCTCAAAACCTACAGCTCCTGTTTTGCCCTTAGATGCTCAAACGCTTGAATCTATTAGTCTTTGGCTCGCTTGAAGAGCTCTTTGATAAAGTTCGCGTTTTCTGCTGGCTTTTTAGTAGGTTAAATTGAGATTTGCATCAAACAGAATTTAAGCTGAATTGACTTCTGATTACCTTAACGGTTTCAAAATTCCGAACTGTAAAAACCCCACAAAAACTTTGACCTTCAAACTGAGCAATCGATCATCCTAGAGACCCCAAAAATGAAAAAACTAAAAGCATTGAGTTTTTACTAAATCAGAAATCACTAATATGAAACAGCAAAAGCTTTGACTCACATTTTAATTACACGCAGTAGTACATTTGTTCCAAAATAGGAAATAATTGATACCGAGAATAGAATATTTACCGGATCGTGTTAACTCATTCCACCCAGACCTGTTGAATAAATGCCGCTCCTCCAAAACAATTTTAAATCAATAATGTTTGCAAACGTAAATGAAAACACAAGGATACCCGGTTACTGGGCAAGTAGCACAGAAGGTTCCGGCTATAGTCAAAGAAAAGCAAAAAAATTTTTTTTACATTAGTGTCGATATCTTCTGCGTGGGGGATGAAAGAATCTGAACTAAAAAAAATCTGACGAACATTTGACAGTTATAGTAAAATAGTCAAAAACTGAAAAAAAAAATGACTAAAAAACAAAACATAAAAAAATATCTTCATTTTTTTTTGCAGAAACGTTTCGAGTTTTGATGTTTTTAATATAAGTGGCACTAAAAAAGCACCAAAAAAACTTTAATTGAGTGAAACTAAGTTCTAACGGCCTAAATTAAACAAAAATAAGGTACTCTAAGCCTGCTCGCTTGCCCTATTTGATTGAATTTAGACTAAAATTGAAAAATTTCGAATTTGTTTTCGTAGATCGGAACATTATGCGCGCATATAGATATTCATGATAAAGAACGAAGAAGGAAAATACACACAAAAGAATACAAGCGCGCAAAACTTGACTGAATTATCCGGGTGCGTTTTGAAATTATCCGGTTGCATTTTGAATTATAATTTGGAATTGGTTTTTGCTCAATTGAAGCAAAGTAAGCTAAGCAAGGAAACTGATTGGAACTCAAAAGCATAGGTGTCGCATGTATTTATTTATACATAAATTTTTATTTTTAAAGCTACTTACTGGATTTAGTCAATGTCTTTGCAGAGTGGTCTTCAAAAACGGCGGCGAAAGTTTTTGGACACGATGGGAAATTATTGTGTTTGTCTCAAAAAAAAGCCACTATGTAGTTTTGCTGAATTGGAGGGCCAC